CTGCTGAAGGCTTTAGTGGTCTATTTGTTTAGTGTCTTGACAGCGTATTTGACAATGTATTTTTGTAAAGACTCTTCCTTGTGTGATCACTGAAGTATCCATTCCTGGTATTCAGTTAGAGTTTTCACAGAGATTTCCTTGAACTCCAGTATTTAAAGAACAGAAACAAAACAAACAAGCAAACAAGGAAACAACTGAAAATACATCTCCCAGTCTGTGCTTATTGGATCTGTGCTAGGAAACTCCTTCAGTTCTTAGCTAGGTTTGCACAGAGCCAAAGGAAAAACCTGAGGTAAAAATCTTAGGTTATTTTTGTTCTTTTCTGAAGGTAGGTCTTCCCCTATACATGTGTATGGCTTTCTAAGTTCCCCCACATAGAAGATGTGGGCATCTTGATTTCTTAGAAGATTTTCTCCCCAGGTTGTTTTTTGTTTTGTTTTGTTTTTGTTTTTGTTTCCCGGTTCTTTGGTTATTTTATGCCTCAGGCATCTCCAGGTTGTTACTTGGTTTGCAGTGTTTTTGAGCAATGTTCACTGCTTTTCCAGTCTGAGTTCCCAGTTAGACAAAACAGAAACAAGTACCTTGCTTCAGCTGTTCATGTGGCACACAGAAAGTTGAGAACAGACGCACACAGTAATTGTAGAATAAGATCTGCTGTGCTCTCTCAAAAAGGCCCAGCACTGGAATGTAGACTCCTTTGTTCAAGACTGCTACTGGGTTGAGAAAAGGGTTTGGGCAAGGGCAAGTAAATATATCAAAAATCTTTCCTATGTTTCTTGATTCAGTGTTTGATTAATTGCTGTAAACTTTTGACCGTTTTCCAGAGTTCTGAAAAAGTCGCTTCTGACATTTTTTTTATTTGTCAATATTTCTGTGGGATGATAAGAGCTTGGAGCTGCCTGCTCCACCATTATGCAGCACTATTAACTGAGGTTTTAGTTTATTTATTTTACAAAAATGACTACCAAGTCTTCTGATTTTATGTCTACATCCATTTTGATTGGCTACTCTCAAAGTAAGAAAGAATTTTGAAGTAGAAATTTACCTACAAATTAAATCTTGATCTAACTCTTCTTTATCTTTTCTTTTTCTTTTTCTTTATTTTTTTTTTGAGATGGAGTCCCCAGGTTGGAGTGCAGTGGTGTGATCTCTGCCCTCTGCAACCTTTGCCTCCTGGGTTCAAGTGATTCTCCTGCCTCATCCTCCTGAGCAGCTGGGATCCACCAACATGTGCAGCTGATTTTTTTTGTATTGTTAGTAGAGATGGAGTTTCACCATGTTGGCCAGGCTGGTCTTGATCTACTGACCTCAAGTGATCTGTCCTCCTTGGCTTCCCAAAGTGCTGGGATTACAGGCATGAGTCACCGTGCCCAGCCCTAACTCTTCTTTTTCTAACTCTAAGTATATTTTAGCAGAATGCTCATGTGGCTTTTCAACAATATATTCAATAAGTAAATCGCTAAAGAAATCAACATTTGAACTACACAAACTAATTTTTGTAATGGAATTTTATCGGGGGAACCCGCTCCCAATATTTCAACGTAGGTTCTTTCTATTTTCCATAAATGTTGGCCAGCTGAGAAATAAAGATAAAGACTACAAAGAAAGGAATGTTACAGCTGGGCCACCGGGGGTGACATCACATATTGGTAGGCCCATGATGCCCGCCTGAGCCTGAAACCAGCAAGTTTTTTATTAAGGGTTTAGGGGGTGTAAGAACAGGGAGTAGATCACATGCTTCAAGGGCAAAAAGGAGAACTACTGATAAGGGTCTATGTTCAGCGGTGCATGTATTGTCTTGATAAACATCTTAAACTACAGAAAACAGGATTTGAGAGCAGAGAAGCAGTCTGACCATAAATTTACCAGGGCGGAGTTTTTCCCCATCCTAGTAAGCCTGAAGGTACTGCAGGAGACCAGGGCATATCTCAATCCTTATCTCAACCGCATCAGACAGACACTCCCAGAGCAACCGTTTATAGACCTCCCCCCAAGAATGTATTCCTTTCCCAGGGTATTAATATTCATATTCCTTGCTAGAAAAAGAATTTAAAGATATCTCTCCTACTTTCACGTCTGTTTATAGCTCTCTGTAAGCAGAAAAATATGGTTCTTTTTGCCCAACCCCACAGGCAATCAGACCTTATGGTTGTCTTCTCTTGTTCCCTAAAAATCGCTGTCATTCTGTTCTTTTTCAAGGTGCACTGATTTCATATTGTTCAAACACATATTTTACAATCAATTTGTACAGTTAACACAATTATCACAGTGGTCCTGAGGTGATGTACATCCTCAGCTTACGAAGATAACAGGATTAAGAGATTAAAGTAAAGACAGGTGTAAGGAATTATAAAAGTATTATTTGGGAACTGATAAATGTCCATATTAAAATGAAATCTTCACAATTTATGTTCATCTGCCATGGCTCCAGCCAGTCCCTCCATTCAGGGTCCCTGAAATCCCACAACAGAATTTGAACCTTCACTAGTATTATTTTAAGGCAATAATCTGTACCCTTCATATAATATTAAGCTTATTCATGGGTTCCAAATTATTATAGTACAGAAATCAGCACAGACTAAATCTGTCCTGTCGCTTGTCTTTAATCAACCTAAGAATAATTTTTTTTTTTTTTTTTTTTTGAGACAGTGTCTCGCTTAGTCGCCCAGGCTGGAGTGCAGTGGCACGATCTCGGCTCACTGCAAGCTCCGCCTCCCGGGTTCACGCCATTCTCCTGCCTCAGCCTCCCGAGTAGCTGGGACTACAGGCGCCCGCCGCCTCGCCCGGCTAATTTTTTGCATTTTTAGTAGAGACGGAGTTTCACCGTGTTAGCCAGGATGGTCTCGATCTCCTGACCTCGGGATCCAACCGCCTCGGCCTCCCAAAGTGCTGGGATTACAGGCGTGAGCCACCGCGCCCGGCCAAGAATAATTTTTATATTTTTAAATTATTGAAAAAATCAAAATAAAAATACTATGTTATGACATGTAACATTAAATGAGATTCAAATTTCAGTGTTTATAAAGAAAGTTTTATTGAATCACATCCACATCTATTTGCTTATGTGTTGTATATGGTTGGTTTTATGCTACAATAGCATAATGGAGTAGATTTGACAGAGAATCTACAAACCTAAAATGTCTATTTTCTAGCCTTTCACACAAAATGTTTTCCAGTTCGTTTTAGTAAAACACATAATCAACAACCTAAGAAATAATTTCAATTTTATGAATCTTGAAAGCTTTCTTCTGCTTTAGCATTAGTCATTAGCTAGAAGACTAATTTTACTTTTAGAAATTTCAGCTACTACAGGTTTTATCAGGTAATAATATATATTTTTTTCAATTCAGTGTTTGATACTTTTAGCACATTTACCCTACTAGTTCAGTTGAAAATAAAGACAATGTTTCTTATACATGTCTAACACAAAAGTATTTCTGGATGGTTTTTCCTAGGACTTAAATTTCTCAATAATATTAACCATTCCTTACTAAATTTTGTCAACTTCAAGGACTAATTCTGAACTTGACGCTCTTTCCTCTAATTGAGTCAGAGAAAACGGGAAATTTCCTTCACCATTAAAAACTCTCTTAAATCAGAGTATCTTACATTTATATATTATTCAATTGATAAGTATGTGAATCAGAGTACTTTAAATTTTTACAGTGAAATCTTATGTTATGTTGAAAGACAACTTATAAACACATAATATCTAAGTTTGGGAAACATCATTGGTTTGGATGACATCTATAAGAATGCTTTCAACAACACTGTCCACTAATGCAAACTGATGTAGAGTGAGCTCTTCTGAAAATAATTCAGAAATGAATTTCCAGCTATTTCTCACCAACCATAATTTTTTAGAAGGTCTGCATCTACAAGTTAGGCAATTTTGTATGATCTTTGGGATTAATCTATTTTTAAGAGATTATTATAAGTAGACTAAACCTCCAGTTAAATAATTTTATTATTTATATGTAAACATTTAACTAGATAATCACTTTTTTCTTTCCTGTCATTACTGCACCAGTCAACTTCATTAAAGGAAGTTTGGTGTTTTAAAACAAAACTTTTTCAGAAATTTCTGCTTTATTACTGGCAATTGTCAAGAAAATTTTAGATAAAATAGAATACACATTCTCTAAAAATTCATGAGTCACCATTTTTGGGTGACAATATTTGACATTCTTTCCTGGCTGCTTGGTCCATCTGTTGAATCTCTTTATAAAACCTCCTTGGATTCCAGAGGCAAATATGCTGATGTTGAAACTATATCACAAAGTTCCAAGTTCAGCTAATTTTGAAAAGTTTATCACTGCACTAGCTAGCCACCTTATTAAATTTTTCCCATTACTTTTTGTTTTTACAAATGGATCTTGATCTCTATATTTGAGTATAATATTCCTGAAAATTATTTAATAACTTTATTGACCAATGATTTCTTGATTGATATTTTATCCATAAGAAGTACCTTACTTGTAAGGATTTTTTTTTATCACAGGGGCCATTTTATGCATATATGGAATTTATACAGTTATCGTTTACTTTCAAATGATGCTTTATCTACAATTGGATCATTTTGCCTGGGAGACATAAACTAAACTAACTTTACTTACAGGTGGGAAAAATTTATCTGGTATAAATCCTTTTATTTGAGTATCTAAATATGCCTTTAACAATAAACTTGTCCCTTACATAGTTTCATGTTCAGCTTGGTTTTCATCTCAATTTAATAACTATCCCAGTAACAACATCCTATAAAATTTAACAGGAGAAATCAATGTGCATTTCCTGGTGGGTAGTGTGAGTTGTCTAGTTTAATAATTATATGTTTAGTCATTTAACTCTCATGGCACACAAGTAATACTAATTATTAACATCTCTTACATCAAAATGCGTATCCAAAGCATTTGTTAAACCCTTCTTTTACCTGGTCCCTTTTATGCTTCCTTTTGCTTTTATTTTCAGTAGTATAGGAATCATCTTATAAGACACTATACTATGCTTTAAAAACCATTTTATTTTCTAAGAGAAGTAAGCATACTTATATCAGGTACAAAAGCTTCAGTGTTCATCCTCGTGAGCTGGTGAGGAAGATGTGGAATTACTGGTGTTACGTAGAGAAAACACCTTTGACAAAGCTGAAGACATTTTTGTCAGCATTTTAGATCCTTGTTTGGAGACATCAGACTTGGGAGTTTCTGTGGACAAAGTAAACAAGAAGAATGATATCTTTATTTTTGGATGCTGAGGTCAAATACCTTGCCTAAGGTCATATGAGTAAAAGGTGGCCCAGCTGGTAATAGGGTCCAGATTTTCTGACTCTCATGACATCATTATGCCTACTGTACTATAAGGCTCCTTTAGTCAAGTATGCAAAAGTCCATTTCTCTTTTCTCAGCAGAACACTCTCTGAAAATGTCTAATGAGTTAAAAGCGAAAGTAACCTTCAACTCTACACAGTGCGGACACCTATTTCAGAATGCTCAAGAGAAAGTAGAAGCACATTAAAAATACTATAAATTCTCACGTACTTTAAGTAAATTTTCCATTGACTGACCCCAAGTGATTATTTATGTCATGGAAAATAGGATTGTGTAGGTAATGAAAGAGTTCCTATTTGGATTTTTTTGCACCATTTATTCAGCATGAGGTTTTAAAGAATGTAATCATCTCAGTTTAACAAAATTATTATTTTATACATAAAGAAATAATTTTATATGTAAAGAAATAATCATTTATGTGCTTTTCTGATACTTCGTAAGTTGTGATAGGGTTACTAAAATCCTGTATTTTCTTGATTGTAGTACATGACACTCAAAAGTTATAAATTTTAATATAAAACTTTAATTTCCAGCTTCTTTTGAAAAAATGGAAGAACTAGGAACAATCTAGCATGCCAATGATTGTAGCTGAGTAGCAGCTGCCTCCTTCAAAGGCAGCATGCCATCTCCCATGAGTCACACACCCCTTCTCAACCTGCTGCTGTTGTTTATGGTACCTACCTTGCTCTTATAACCATTTGAGTGTGTAGACAGTGATGATGTCGCATGAGATTGGGATTTGAAACGTAGCTCTGCTGCTTGTTAGCTGTGGGATAATCTTGGATAACGTATTGTCATTTTTCTCTTTAATGATTCTCACTTTTTTTCTTTAAATAAAATGGGAATAGCTAGGGCCTGATATATTTTAGTTATATTATCTATTGTCCCTTTGGTGTAAAGATAGAGAACTACATAATTAACTGAAAATTGGTATTTATACAAACAGTAAGAATATTATTTCAATCCCATTTTGATAATATGCAAGGGGAGAGTCACTCATTTCCAGGACAGTAATAAAAAATTCTAAACTCAAAATGATGCAGTTGAGAGTTTAATTACACCAGTTGTTAAAATAGTACATTTTGTACCTGAAGTGACTTCCTTTGAGGGATTTGCACTGCCAAGAACATCCTTGGATCTTTCAAAGATGGTGATAAACTGCCAAGGTAAATTGAAATACAAACTGAGTCTTTCACTGGACACTAAACACTAAATATACCCATAAATCCTCAAATCCACTAGATATACCTATAAATACCATTACAGTATCTTACATAAAATATATCTGTGTTCTGCAATCTCAAAGAATTGTTCAATAAGGCTGAGGCTCATAATTTTTGGAAAGTAAGATGCTTAAGATTGACACTTGTTATGAATGCAGGCTTTGGCTAGCACTAAATGAGGGTCAATGGTTCAGCCATATTAACTCATGAAAAATCTCAGCTCTATCTGCCTCCTCTATCCTTTGACTGAATTGAAAAAAGTTAAAAATTCTTTTCTGAAAAAAGATGTAATAGTAAGGGGAGAAAAAAGGATATTCACTTTGTAACCCTAAATTTTCTTCTGTTGAAATCTTAGCCACTGCAGAGTCTGGAGCAATAAAGTGACTCTGTGGACCTGGTTGTGCTGGGATTGTGTCTCCAGTACTAGCTTTACTCTATAGACCTTTATCAATTTTTAATGCAAGAGCAGCAATTGTCCCAGAGAGGCATAAAGTAGCCTGGGACAGGTGGTGGGGCTTCAGCTATTCTGAAACTATTCTAAAATGGTAGATTTGAAGGGTACCAGAATTCTGTAGCTATTCTAAAATGTCATCTGTTAAAAATCAATAAAACAAGGCTTAAATACATGTAACATAAGAGGAATGCGCAGTGTATATATCAGGTAAAAAGCAACAGATACTATTACAAGAGTTTTACCATAGTTCCTCCAAGAAGACTTAAGGGTGCTCACATATTAAGCTATTGGAAACAAGATAACTGAGGAATAAAATGGGGCAGAGACAATTGAAAGTGCTGATTCTCAGTTGTGTATCCATAAGTTTAACCACTAAAGATAAAATAAATGAAAAATAATGGACAGCTGTATGTATACTGAATATGTATAGACTTATTGTTCTTGTCATTATTCCCTAAATAATACAGCATAAGAACTATTTACATAATATTTACATTGTGTCAGGTATGATAAGTAATCTAGAAATAATTTAGAATATATGGGAGGATGTGTGTAGGTTATATGCAAATATACCATTTTATATAAGGACCTTGAGTACCCCTGAATTTTGATATCTTTTGGGATTCCTGGAATCAATCCCCTACAGCTATGAGGGGATGACAGTACTTAAGTTATGCTGAAAACGTGTATCTGTTTGTTAGATACAAGAGTGCTTACCCTTACTTAATGGAGCATTGTTAAAATCATGACTTTAAAGTTTTTAATCTAAAAATTTCAAAACCTTGGCTATGTCGGAGTTGGCATCTTTTGACCTTTTCCTTGAAAGCTGTAGATATTGTCTTTGTCCTTTGTATGTTGAATCATTTTGGAATGTATCCTGCACATTATATGTAAGTAGTCAGATTTTTGGTCCTTTCAAAATCCTGTAGAGGATATGTGTGTGTGTGCGTGTTTTTTTATTTTGGTAGGTAATTGACTCATTATGTTCAGATCATATATCCTACCCTGCCTCTCATGGCTGTGGTTTCAATTTAATTTCTGTTTTCAAAATTTTTGTAGCTTTGAGTATCCTTATGTATGCACTACTGTTAAGAATGCAGTTCAAGTTCTCGAAGACTTTTGTCTTTGTAACTTCAGGTAATTTCCAAATATGTACAATTCAGAGGGGGCATTATAAACAGATTTTTGAAGTTCCCCTTTCTGTGATTTTCCTCAATGCCTGACTCTCATTAGCCCCCTTTTCTAGTTCTATGGCTAAAATGCTGTGGCTTTAGCCTCTGTGTGTGTGCTGCTTCTAGTTTATATCTGCATCTACCACTAAGAGTAAAGTGACAAGAGAAAGCAGAGAAAAGCACAACAGGCTCAATCAATACTCCTTAGTCTACTGAGGACCCTTTCCCTATTGGTCAAAGAAGAATTTTCTTTCAGAGTTTTAAGTGGTACCTCAGCGGCCTCTGCTGCTACTGCCATGCAGCTTCACGAGGGGACCTTGGCTTGAGGCAGGGCCAAGGAGGGAGAAAAAGTGGGGATTCTCCCCAGATTCTCCATGTCACGGGAATCTCCTAACCGGTAAGAAAACAATGGTTTCTCTAGGAGCTATATTCTATCCAGTTGATCTATGCAATTCCAGGATTTGAGTTTCCCTGAGTCTTAGAGGATATGCAAATAAAATAACAAAACCCAGGAAACTCACAATGGCATTGGCCATTCTTTGAGTTTTGATTCCCCTGCCTAACTCTTGTTGTTTATTTTTCAGAATCCTCAGTAGTTACCCACAGTGTTTAGTTGTAATCACTGAGAGAGGTAAGATGGAGCCTGCCTACTCCACCTTACCCAGAACTGGATTAGATAACAACTTTACCCATAATTTTACCATGGAAAAGGTAGCAAAGAGGGAAGGAACAAAAGCAGAAGGAGTCCAGATTAGCCAGAAATTCCACTTGACACACTGAGTGTCAACAGGTTCTTAGATTAGAGCTTCAGCATTTCCCTTCTGTTGCCATATAATTTTACTGTAAATTATAGTGTAAATTTACATATATGCAAATTATATGTAAAGTGTGGCCAAAATGGAGCCTGAGGTAGTTAAATAAATACTTATATTCACAAATGAGGATTAGCTTCAGTGGGTGACAAATCCAGTATCTTTGAACATTTAAAAAAATATATCTTAAGTGTAAGTTATAAGATTTTGAAAGTTGGTTCTGAAAATTGTACTATATTGCGATATGAGAAGTAACTCCATAATTGATAGCTTATGTTGTATGTGGGGGTGGAAGGACCCACTTGAAGGGTGATTAAACTGAACCAAGAAAGAAACAATCTGATTAAAAAACACAGACGAAGATGTGTAGCTTCATTTCTCATTGGAAACTTTATAAGAAAGATTTATAAAGAGGAAATTTTCTTGGCTCACACTGGGGAGTAGGTGGGCTTTGTGGAAAGTTGCCAGTAAAGAAGTAATGTTTAGGAATGCAGAAAAATAGAATTAGCACTCACTTCCTGCAAGCCATGCCCCTTCCATGTTTGAAGCTTCTGTTTTCTCCCCACCTCCCCAAGTTTCTCACTTGAGTCTACTCATCCTAGGTAGGGCCAAGTAATTCACTCCCTCTAGTGTTTTGCTAGAGACTATAGTAACAGAGCTAATAAACAGAATTGTACTTAGATGCTAGGGAGAACCAGTATATTACTTTGTGCACCTAAACAAGAAATGATGACTTAACCCAAAGGATTTTGTCAACATATTTTAGTACACCAGGGACAGGCCTCAACTAGGAAGAGGGAGAGGGTGTAAGAAATTGTGAATAGGAGAATGCTTTCTGATATCCTTCAAATCATACCACACAGTCCCTGACTGAACTATGAAAACTGAGTTGTTCTTAACTAGATCCTAATATATACCAATTAAGGCTAATTAAAAATACTTACCTTAACACTGCTTGCATGCTCCGGCTTTTGTTCCTGAGAACTTTCTGTAGAGATTTAAAAAAAGTAAAATAGTCTCTTTCTGAAGCATATATATTTGTTGACACAAATCTGATCATATTACTTATTTTTCACCAAAGAATCATATAATTTAAGCAGGTCGAAGAAGTTGTTATTTTAAATGTATAAGCAATTGGGAACAACACTGAAGTAAGTGAGAGCCCTAGAATGTTGGGGCATGTCTTAGCCCTTCAGCTAGAAATTTAGAAATTATGAAAGATGAAATGTAACATAGTGGGAGTGGCAAGCTCTGTAACTTAGTAGCTATACATCTATGCGCAACTATTCAATCCCTATAAGCCTGTTTGTTTACCTGAGAAATGAGGGATTACTCTATAGATGATTCTTAAAAGCCCTTCCAGGTCTACCACTTTCTTTACATGCCTACTTAAAAGCAGCTTATTAGAATAAAGAGGAGAGTACGGGTATTATTAAATAGTAACTTCTGGGAGAATCAGGAGAGCTTCGAGGTAATGCTCAGAGGAAATTTGGTGGAGTCTATAGAACCAAAAGTTGTCTGAGTTCCAGGGGAGGTCAATATATTAGTGAAATAAATTCAGGCAAGGAGGTAGAAATGACACCGTGAGAGAAGCTTCTCAAGAACCCACTGCAAGGGAAGCAGCTAACCTGCTAAGAAGGCAGAAACCCTGTATTTAAATCTTAGCTTCATTGCTTAAAGCTGTGTGAACACTGAACATCTAACTTCTCTGACTCTGTTTTCTCATACATAGTACGTGAATGAGACTGTCTTCCTTGGCTATAGATATCATATAAGAAAAAACTATGCATTTTATATAGCTACACTCATCACGAGCCAACATAAGCAATAACTATCTAAAGTACCCTTTGGGCCAATATGGGTTCTAAAAAAAAGTAACAGTAAAATCTCAATCAGCTCAAATATGAGAAGTGATTAAAATATCTGACAAAATTGGTTAGATTTCATTGTTGGTTGATAATCTTCCTAAAAAGCACCTAAATATATATTGCACATAATTGAACAGATTTTATTTTAAATGAATGAGAACATTTGGGTTTACTACAAGGGCAATGATTCCAAACACAAGTTTTTAAGTTTCTAAGGTATATGGGCTTCCAACTCCCCAGAAAAACTAGGAAGTTGTTTTGATGAAGAGGCATAAAAAATTTCCTGATATTTATGGGGCCCCAATTTTTGGATTTAAGTTATTTGAGATTTTATTGTATATATGAATTAGGAATGAATATATCTGGCCTTGATCTTTCCACTTAATTTCAGACTTAAATATCCAATTGCTTATGTGACATCTCAACTTGAATGTCTAAAGGATACCTCAATCTTAACGTAACCAAAAAAAAGAATTCTTGTACTCCTCCTTCACCTTTGGTTGATCCAATAGTCTCTCCTATCTCATTAAATCCCTGTATCTACTATAAACAAAGTAGTGTTTTAGGCTCTTGGTGATACAGCTGTTAACAGACAGAAATCTCCACCTTTATGAAGCTTACATTCTAGAGAGACAGTCAAAAAAACAATTAAAATACACACTATAACAGAAAGTGCTATCCAGTAAAGCAAAGAACTGGGATAGGTAGTGCCCTGATCAGAATTAAGTTGCAGTTTCAGAGTGTGGCCAGAGAAGACCTGAGAAAGTGACATTTGGGCCAAGATCTGAAAGTAAGGAATGAGCAATGCAGATATAGGGGAAAGAGTACAGGAGGATCAGCAAATCCAAGGGCCATTAATATATAAAGTGTTTGAGGAACAGCAAGGAGGTTAGTGTGATTGGAATGAATTGAGCCAGAAAGAAAAAGAGGAGTACCTTAGAGGGGGAATAGGATGTTAGGGTGATGCCCAGATGATGTAGGGGTTTGTAAGCCATTGTGATGACTTGAGATTTGGTTCTAAATGAGATGGGAAGTACAGTCATGCATTGCTTAACATGGTTACATTCTGAGAAATGCCTCATTAGGTGATTGCATCATTGTGTGAACATCATAGGATGTACTTACACAAACCTAGATGCTATAGCCTACTGTACACCTAAGCTATATGGTGTGGTATGTCTTCTAGGCTAAACCTGTACAGAATGTTATGACACTGTATACTGGAGGCAACTGTAACACAATGGTAAGTATTTGTGTATCTAAACATAGACAAAGTACAGTAGAAATACAGTATTATAATCATATGGGACTACTATTTTATACTGGTCCATCATTGGCCAAAACATCATTATGTGACACATGACTTTACTTATTAATGTCTGGAATTATCTTGTTTAAGTCTTTACTCTTGGGATGGGACTTCCTACTCCGAGTTAAAGTGTAAATTCCATGAGAGCAAAACCTTTGTCAGTCTTGTTCAGACATGGAATCTCAGGATACAAAGAAAACACTCAGCAAATCTTTGGATGAATGAGTAAGTAAATGATTTAATTGAACATCTGTGATATTACTAAAGGCTATAAGTACTAAGCAAGATCACCAAAATGAAGTTGGAAAAAGCATATTAAAACACTGAATTTAGAGGCAGGAGACGTGGGATGCAGATGGAACTTTTGTTTATATATAGATTCACTGGATACATGTGCAGGATTATTACTTGGATATATTGCATAATGGTGAGGTTGGGCTTTTAGTGACCTATCACCTGAATAGTGAATATTATACCCAATAGGTAATTTTTCAGCACTCACCCCCCTCCTCCCTTCTGGTGTGCCACGTCTGTTACATTGGTCTGTTTTGGACTCTGTTTTTGACTCAGAGGAATGTTGGATGGGTCACTGCCTTACCCTGAGCTTGAGTTTCCTCATCTATGAAATGAGTATGGTTGTATGAAACAGTTTCTGTTGGCATCTAGCAAAGTATAATTCCACAATTCAGACATTATAGGAGTGGTTTTTGTGAAATCTATGATATGGTCACTGAATTCTGGCATACTTAATGCTATTTTATGGATTATCTTAATAAAAATGATTTTCACTTTCAAATTGGGAGAATATGTTGAATTGGTTGCATGTTTGAAATAGTAATGATAAACTTGTAGTTTGACTTTCAATGTGACCTTATAGCAAACATGACACTCTACCTCTTATATATGCTATTATTGTTAGAACCATATTGATCCTCCCTCTAAGGTCTTGACAATTAGAGAACCTAAAAGTCGTTACAAATTTTCTAAGGAGCCAGTACTATTAAGGAATGAATAAAAAAAAAAATAGAAAAATGAAAAAAAAAGTGAGGTACATCCTAGCCAGATTTTAATATGAGGGAATAAATTTAGCTTTAAAAAGAGGCATAATCCTTCAAAGAAATAATTAAATTCTAGTAGCATGGATTCTGGCTCAGATATAAACTGCTGTTACAATACTCTCTATTTTGTAGATATTTCACAGGAGTATGGTAAATGTGAATTCATGTCACTCCGTATACTTGACACCACAATCAGTGATAAAATCTTAACGGTAATTTAGGCAAGGCAAAGTATTTAACTCATTTTAACTCCTGAATGAGGTAATACTGGATCATTTTCTAAAGTAGATAAACTCATAGAAAAAATAAAGCCTGTATTAACTTCAAGTTTGATAACTAAAAAAAAAACCACACACACATCAAAATAGTAGACATTTATCTTTGAACACTTCCTAATTTAAGAAAAAAGAGTCCAACCTTCTAATATTTTAGCACTTGGGTCTGGGCAACAATCTTCATCCTCACTAAAATAAAAGAAAAAGAACATCATTTAGGGTGAATTTGATAAATGAAGAAGTTACTGATTAAGCAAAAGAACAGTTAGTCTTCATATGGAAAGAAAGCTTAAATAATATACTATTCACTGAGATTCCAAATCAAATAAAAATGATTTCTGATTGACTTTTTCCCCTACTTTTAAAATTGTGGTTATACATACATTAAATTTACAATTTTAACCATTTTATGTGTACAGTTCTATAGCATTAAGTACATTTGCAGTGTTGTGCAACCATCACAACCATCCAGCTCCAGAACTTTTTTCATCTTTCCCAACTGAAACTCTATACCAATTAAACATTAAAACCTAATTTCCGTCTCTCCCCATCCCCTGAGAACCACTATTCTACTTTCTGTCTCTATGATTTTGACTATGCTAGGGACTTCATATGAGAATCATGAAATGTCCTTTTGTGCTGACCTATCCCAATTAGCAAAATATATTTGAAAGTTCATACATCCAGTAGTATGTGCCATAATATCTTTCTTTTTTAAGGCTGAATAACATTCCATTGAATATTTATAACACATTTTGCTTGTTTATTCATCTATCGATAGACATTGGGATTGCTTCCACCATTTGTCTATGGTGAATAACGGTGTAGAAATATCTGTTTTGGTCCCTGCTTTTAAGTATTTTGAGTATGTACACAGAAGGAGAATTGCTTGATCGTAAGGTAAGTCTATATTTAATTTTTGAGAACCCGCCCAATACTGTTTTCCACAGTGTCTACACTATTGAAATTTCCACCATTGATGCATAAGGGTTTCAATTCTTGACATCCTTACCAGTACTTGTTTTCTTTGCCTTTACTTCTTTTTTCCCTCCCTCCTTTCGTCCCTCCCTCCCTTCTTTAGTTATCTTAATGTGTTGAAAGTGGAATCTTGTGATTGTGATTTGCATTTCCCTAATGATTAGGGAAATGATTGAAAATCATTTTATGTGCCTCTTAGCCATTTGTATATTTTCTTAGATTACTGTCTAAGTCCTTTGCACATTTTTAATTGGGTTGTTTTATCATTGTTGAGTCACAGGAATTATTTATATATTCTGAATCTTAATTATTTACTATATGTATAATTTGCAAATATTTTCTCCCATTCCATGGGTTTACTTTTCACTTCATTGATGGTGTCCTTTGAAGCACAAAAGTTTTAATCATAATGAAGCACAATATACCTATTTTTCTTTTCTTTCCTGTGCTTTGATTTCATAACAACAACAACAACAAACACTGTTAAATCCAATGTCATGAGGCCTTTCTCCCATGTCTTCTGACAAAAGTTTTTCTAGCTCTTATGTTTAGATCTCTGACTCATTTTGAGTTAATTTTTGTATGTGGCATAAGGTAAGGGTTCACCTTCATTTTTGTTTGTTTTTTGCATGTGAGTATCTATTCCCATCACCACCTGTGGAAAAGGCCATCCCTTCCCTCATTAAATTGTCTTTGTACCCTTGGTAAAAATCATTTGACCATATATGGAAGGGTTTATTTCTGGGTTCTTTATTCCATTTCTTTGCTTTATAAGTCTGTCTTTATGTCAGTATCACACTGTTTGATTACGGTAGCTTTGTAGTAAGATTTGAAATCAGTAAATAAGACATCTGCATCTTTGTTCTATATTAAGATTTTTTGCCTATTAAGGGTCTCTTGAGAAACCAATGAACTTTAGGATAAATTTTCTATTTCTGCAAAAAAAAAATTATTGGTATTTTGATAAGGATTCCATTGATTCTATGGATTACTTTGAGTAGAATTAACATTTTAACAATATTGTCTTCTAATCTATAAACATGAGGTGTCTTTCTACTTATTTGCGTTCTCTTTAATTTCTTATAGCAATATTTTGTAGTTGCCAAAGTACAAGTCTTTCAATTCCTTGGTTAAATGTATTCCTAAGTATTTTATTCTGTTTGTTATTAATATAAATGGATTTTCCCCTTAAATTGTTTTTAAATTTGTTTTCCCCTCAATTTAAATTGTTTTCCCCTTAATTATTTTTAGATAGCTCATTGTAATTATACAGAATGCAGCTATCTTTTCTGTGTTGATTTTATATCTGGTAACTTTGCTGAATTAATTCATTAATTACAACATTTTTTATGTGTTCTTCAGGGGTTTCTACATTATGACCATGTCATCTATAAACAATAATTTTTCTGCTCATCCAATTAGAATGCCTTTCCCCTTCTTCTTGCCTAATTTTTCTGACTAGCATTTTCAGTACTGTGTTAAATAGAAGTGGCAAAAGTAGTCATTGTTTTTTGTTTGTCCCTGATCTCAGAGAAAATACTTCATTTCTTCACCACTGAGATAGATATTAGATACAGCTAATACCTACAATATTAGCTGTAGATGTTTCATATATGACCTTAACAATGCTGAAGTAATTTCCTTCTCTTCCTGCTGTGCTGAGTCCTTTTATCCATGTAAAAGATTTAACTTTTGTCAAACGGTTTTCCTGCATCATTTGAGATGGACAGGTGTGTGTGTGTGTACGTGTGTTTCCCTTTCATTCTGTTAATGTGATGTATTACATTGATTTTTGTTGTTGTTGTTGTTGTTGTTGTTTTTGAGACAGGGTCTCATTCTGTCACCCAGGCTGGAGCAAAGTGGTGTGATCACAGCTCACTGCAGCCTACCTCAACTTCCTGTTCTCAATAAATCCACCTGCTTCAGCCTCCTTCGTAGCTGGGACCACAGGTGCACACCACCATGTCTGGCTATTTTTTGTATTTTTTTTGGAGAGATGGGGTTTCACCATGTTGCCCAGGTTGGTCTCAAATTGTCGGGCTTGAGAAATCTGCCCATCTTAACCTCTCAAAGTGCTGGGATTACAGGCGTGAGTCACTGTGCCTGGCCTATTGATTGGTTTTTTTGTGTTGAAACTTGTTTGCATTCCTGGGATAAAACCGACTTGGTCATGATCTATAAACCTTTTAATATACTGATGAATTTGGTTAGCTAATACCGTGTTGAAAATTTTTGCATCAATATTCATCAGTAATATTGTTCTGTAGTGTTTTATTGCTGTCTTTGGTCTTGGCAATAATGTAATGCTGGCATCATGACTTTGGAAGTGTTTCCTCTTTTCAATTTTTTTGAAAAGTCTGAGGGGGGTTAGAGTTAATTCTTTGAAATTTGTGACATCCACCAATGAAAGTATCTATCTGGTCATGAGCTTTTCTTTCTTAGGAGGTTTTTCAGTTACTGATTCAATTTCTTTACTATTTCTAAATTTGTTCACTCTAATTTAGCATAATTCAGTCTTGACAAGCTGTATATTTCAAGGAATTTATCCATTTCATCTAGATTATCCAATTTGTTGGCATACAATTATTCATAGTACCCTCTTTTAATCCTTTTATTTCTATAAACTCAGTTGCTATTTTACCTGTTTCATTTATGATTTTAACTGAGTCTTCTCTTTCTTTCCTTAGGTAATCTAGCTGAAGACTTGTCAATTTCATTGATTTTTTTTTTTTTTTTAATGAACCAACTCTTAGTTTTCTTGATTTTCTCTACTTTTTTTATTGTCTATTTTATTCCTGGTCTAATCTTTACTATTTTCTTCCACTTAATACCTTTCAGTTTGTTCTTTCTCTAGTTGCTTAAGGTATAAAGTTGTTGGTATAAGATCTTTCTTATTTGATTTATTTATGACTATAAATTTTCCTCTTAACATTGTTTTTGTTGTATTCCTTAAATTTTGGTGAGTTTGGTAAGTTCTCTTATTATTTCTTCTTTGACCCATAAGTTGATACTATATTGTTTAATTTTCACATTTTTAAGGGTGTTTTGGTTTTTCCTTCTGCTATTGATTTCTAGCTTTATCCCATTGCAATTTGAAAATATATTTTGTATGTATTCAAACTTTTAAAATTTATTAAGGCTCATTTTGTGGCCTAAGATATAATTTATCCTGGAGAGTGTGCTATGTGCATTTGAGAAAACTGTGTATTTTGCTATTGTTTTATACATATATACAAACACACACACACATACACATATATATTTAACTATATATATATGACAGGTTGAATAAATCTATAGTTTTATTCACATCTGTATTAGTCTGTTCTCATGTTGCTATAAAGGTCTGCCTGAGACTGGGTAATTTATAAAGGAAAGAGATTTAATTGACTCACAGTTCTGTATACCTAGGGAGGCCTCAGGAAACTTACAATCATGGTGGCGGGAAAGCAAACATATCCTTCTTCCCCTGGTGGCAGGAAGGAGAAGTGCCAAGCAAAAGGGGGAAAAGCCCCTTATAGAACCATCAGATCTTATGAGAACTCACTCACTATCATGAGAAAAGCAGCATAGGAGTAATCACCTCAATGATTCAATTACCTTCCACCTGGTCCTTCTCACAACATGCGGGGATTATGGGAACAACAATTCAAGATGAGATTTTGGTGGAGGCACAGCCCAAACATATCAACATCCTCTATTTCCTTATTTTGTTTAGTTGTCTCTCCATGATTGAAAATGGCATATTGAAGTCCTTTACTATTATTGTAGAGCTGTTTATTTCCTCTTCAATTCTGTTAGTATTTGTTTAGTATATTTTAGAGCTCTGATGTTTGGTGCATACAGATGCTTCTCAACTTACAATGGGGTAACGTCTCAATGAACCCATTTTAAATGGAAAATATCATACATTGAATATGTATTTAACACATCTAAGCTACCAAACATCATAACTTAGCCTAATCTACCTTAAATGTGCTCAGAACACATACATTAGCCTACAGTTTGGCAAGATCATCTAACACAAAGTATTAAAATTATCATATAATATATTGAATATGGTACTGAATATGTATTCCTTTCACACTGTCATAAAGTTAAAAAATTGTAAGTCAAATTTTCACTAAGCTGGAGACCATTTGTATATGTTTTTAATTATTATCTCTTCCTGGTAAATTGATGCTGTTATCATCATACAATGTCCTTTTTTTCCCTCTCTTTTGGTTTCTATTTGCATGGGGTATATTTTTCAATTATTTCACTTTCAACCTACATGTATTCTTAGACCTAAAGTGAATATCTTATGAATAACATACAGTTGGATTCTGTTTTTAAAATCCATTTTGTCATTCTATCTCTTTTGATTAAAGTGTTTAACACATTTATACTTTAAGTAATCAGTAATAGAGAATAACATTCTTTTGCCATTTTGTTGTTTTCTGCATCTTACAGTTGTTTTGTCCTTCATTTCTTCCATTACTGTCTTCCTTTGTATTTAGATGAGTTTTTTAGTGACACATTTTAATTCAGTTCTCATTTTCTTTTATGTATATTTTAGGAATATTTTCTTTGTTGTTATTACAAGGATTATGTGTAACATCCTAAAATTATTATTCTAATTTTTAATTGATACCAAGTAAATTTAATTGCATACAAAAACTCTACTTTTTAACACATTTGCCCCCTACCCACTTTATGTTATTGAGGTCCCAAAATTATACCTTTTTATATTCTGTACCCATTAGCATAAACTTATAATCTGTTTTATTCATTTGTCTTTTAAATTCTTTAGAAAATAAAAAGTGGATATATGAGCTAAATTATGATAATACTATTTTTATATTTGTTCATGTATTTACACTTGTTAAAAATTACATAGTTTCATATGGCTCTGAGTTACTGTCTAGCATCATTTCATTTATCTTTTTAACTTGAAGAACTTTCTTTAGCATTTCCTGTCAGGTAGGTCTAGGGTTAATGAACTCCCTCTGCTTTTCCTTGTCTTCGAATGTCTTAATTTCTCCTCATTTTTGAAGAACATTTTTTGCTGGATGTAGAATTCTTGTTTGACAGTACGTTTTTTTCTTTCATTCCTTTAAGTATATCATCTCACTGCCTCTTGGCTTGTAAGGTTACTAATGAGAAAATCACTAATAGTATTATGAGGGTTATTTGTACACGATGAATCACTTTCCTTTGTCTACTTTAAAGGTTGTCTTCTGACAGTTTATTATGTGTCTTAATATGATATTTTTGTGTTTATTCTGCTTGTAGTTTGTTAAGCTTCTTTTATTTGTGTACGTATGTCTTTCTTCAAATTTAGGAAGTTTCAGCCCTTGTTTCCTCAAATTATCTCTCTGTTTCTTTCTCAATGTCTTCTTCTGGAATTTACATAATGTGTATATTATTCTGCTTGATGGTGTTTCAAAAATCCTTAGGCATTGCTTAATTTTTTTTCTATCATTTTTCCTTTTGGTCTTTAGACTTGGCAACTTCAAATGACTTGCATTCAAGTTCACTGATTGTTTCTTCTGTCTGTCCAAGTTTGCTGTTGAACTTCTCCAATGAATTTTTCAATTCAGTTATTATATTTTTCAGCTCCAGAATTAATTTTTAATTTTCATGAGTACATAATACTTGCACATGTTTATGGGTTACATGTGATGTTTTGATACAGGTATACAATGTGCAATGATTAAGTCAGGGTAATTGGGGTATCCATCACCTCAAACATTTATTGTTTTTTGTGTTATGTATTAGGAATAGTCCAATTCCTCTCTTTTAGTTATTTTAGAATATACAATAAATTGTTGTTAACTGTAGTTACCCTAATGCACTACCAAAACCAGAATTACTGTCTGGTTCTTTTTTATAATTTTCCTATTAATATTTTAATTTTGTTCATACATATTTTTACTAATTTCCTTAGTTCTTTGTCTACCTACAATTCTTGAACTTATTTAGGATAGTTGTCTTGAAGTCTTTGCCATGTAGGTCCAACTGATATGCTTCTTCAGGAACATTTTCTGGGTATTTTATTCTTTCCATTTGAATTTCCCCATTTTTTGTATGCTTAGTAATCTTTTGTTCAAATATGAGTACTTGAAATAATAAAGAAGCCACCTCTTCTAGCTTTTGCTGATTGGATGTGGAAAATATTTACTAATTAATGAGACTTTGAGCCTTGGAAACATTCCAAAGTAAAGATTTAGGTTTTTTTCAGATCTTTTCCTTGATTGTAGTTTTCAAGTCTATATTTGTGCATCCCCAAACTCAGTTTTTCTGGGCCGCTTGTAAATGATTTAATTTCCCAAAGAGTCACTTCCTGCTCCTTCTTAGGAACTTAGATGTTCTGTTGTATCTCTGTCTTCCCATAATTTCTTGCCCAAGGTGTTTATGGTTCTGCAGTCCCTCTGTAGTTTTCATGCATTATGGCACCTATCTACTACTTTCTGTGGTTTCCGGGCTTAGAACCAAACTATGACACCATTGCCTATCTGAGTTCCTAGTCAAGTGAAACAAAAATAATTTCTTAAGAAAGCCCATAGATAGGTCAGAACAAGATCTATTCTGTTCTTTCCACCAAAAGGAGGAAACTGGAAATTGGGCTTCTTTCTCTTGACTGTGTTACACCATGCTGGGAGGAAGTTGGATGCAAGAGCAAGTTAAACTTCACAGATTTTTTAAAACTATTTTGAATGTGTTTTTTCCCTTTCGCTCTCCGTTCCTCCTTCCCTTTCTTCACCCCTCTCTCCCTCCCTTCCTTCCCTTTCTTTCATTTTTTGCTTTCCTTCTTCCTTTTGTTTCTCTCTCCTCTCTCTTTCTCTTATACTCTTTTTCCTTTATCTCTCTTTTCTTTCTCTTTCTTTTGTCTTCTCTCTCTGTGTGTCAGAGTCTTGCTCTGTTGCCTAGGCTAAAGTGCAGTGGCAAAATCATAGCTCACTGTAACTTTGAACTCATGAGTTCAAGCAATTCTATCACCTCAGCCTCCTGAGTAGCTAGGACTAGGTGCATATGACCATGCCAGCTAATTTTTTATTATTTTATTTTATTTTAGTATAGTCAGGGTCTTGCTATGTTGCCCAACCTGACTTCAAACTCCTGGCCTCAAGCAATCTTCATGCCTCGGCCTCCCAAAGTGGTGGGATTACAGGCATAAGCCACCATGAGCAGCCAGCTTTTTCTTGATTGAGTATTCATTTGGTTGCTGCAGACTGTTGTCCAGAGCTGTTATAAAGTTGTGTTAGTCAGATTGTAGTTGCTTATGTTTTGTTTCCATGGGGAAATCAGAACCTTGAGCTTCCTGGTATTATCTTGCTCTAAAATCATTTTTATTTAGTATTATTTATGCCTGTTTTTTACTTCACTAAAATAACCAATAGAGAGGTTCCAACATTTCTAGCTATGTATGTTAAAAATAACCTATTATGCAGGAGAAAAGAGACAATGGTGGGCCAAAAACAGATGTCCCAAAATAAGGCCATGTCAAAAAAAAAAAAAAAAATACAATTCCAGCATGCTGAGTGAAAAAAAAGTCACTAGATTTTTCTGTGCATAATATGAGTACTTCTCCCCAGATTAAAAACAAAGTTCTCTCTTCCAAGTTGTGTATAATTTTATAAATGCAAGCACAAATTTAGATATTTTCACTATTCTTGATGGAGTTGTGAGATTTCAAGTCTATAGTGCACTTTGTTCCTCTCTGTCCCCTATCACTTTTACAGTCCATACTTTGCCTTTAGTGTCATCCAAACTTGGATTGTCTTTCACTTGTGTAAATGCTATCCATTTTTAAAGAGCCACGTCAAACTCCAGTGCTTTCTACGATTTATCTCTGAATGCTAAAACTTATATTTCTTTCTCATTCCTTTGGATTTTTCTTATAGGCAATGACAATAGCTTTCTTAAGAGAGCTAAGCATGAACACTTTTGTAGTCATACTGCATATTTCATTTCTGGGCCATTATCTCTCTCTCAGGTTAGAAAATACCCTAATACATTAGCAAATAGTTTATATAAGACACTGATACACTAGAAACTGGTTTCAAAACTAGGACATAGAGGCCAGATATCTAAAAATGGAGGAGCAGATAGCAAGAAGTGGCTTTGGAATTATTCACAGTAGGGTGCCAGGGAAGGGAAGCAGTGGGGGAAGGTCTGAAGCTAAATACTTGCTCAATTACAGTTTTGCCAGGGGCCCCATTCTACTCATAAGCTCTACTTTATCAGATTTCTATATTTGTACTGCTTTAATTTCATATACCCAGTAGATGAAATGAGATCTTCTTGATTGTATGAAGATGAACTCATAATTCTGTGTATGAAGTAATGTGTTGGTTCAGTAACAAGATTCTTTTCTTCTTTCTGGAAAAGGACAAATCAACTATTACACTAAATGGAGTTTGAAATATGCTTTCTTACCTTATGGTATTTTTTGCAGTATAATCTACATTTTAATGGAAAAAAGTTCCAGAGATTAGTTAAAAGATGGGTGAGGCCTATAATTCTAATTAAAAAGTGTCTTCCAATATAATTAACTTGAAATAGTTAAGTGAAGATTACCTAAATTATGACATTAGATTTTGAACAAATTTTAAACATAAACCTATGTTTAAACAATGTTTAAAGAGTCAAATTTTCTTCTAAACTTTAAAAATATTTTAAGTCATATATTACTGAGTTCAAAAAGAGGAAGAACACAGATACAACTCTGGTCAATCAGGTACCTTGCCAGGTCAATCATCTTAGCACATACTTTGATCCATTTGTCGCAAAGTCATGTGTGCTTCTGAATGGAGCAGTTATATTTATGTTATTTTCTGTGGTTCATCTAAGCTTTTGTGTTAACCTTAGAATCACACCAAATGGATAATCAAGAGAATGGCCTCATCAGAAAATCAAAAGTTGTACATTCTCCAAAAACATGTTATGGTATAGAATTTCATGTACCCAGGAGATGAAATTAATTAAACTTAATTCTAAAATTAATTAGAATTACAGGGCTCATCCATCTTTCAACTAATCTCTGAAACATTTTTCCATTAAAATGTAGATTATACTGCAGGACCAAACTTAAAAGGTCACTGAGACTCAGACCATCATTTGAGAGTTTGGAGCCAGCAACAAGAGATGTTCACCATGCTGATAGCAGAGTTTATGGGCTAAATATAAGGGTGATATTTAAAATACATGAATTAACTTGTTAAGGTTGGATAAGTTGGTTATATAACTTACCAAAAGGTCACCTAGCTACTAAGAGTTGGGATTCAAACCCAAACAATCTGAATTTCCATGCATCTTATTTTCTTCCTCCTACCTCAGCCAGTCTTCTGGTGCTATTTTAGTAGCATTGGGCTCTCCACACAAAATGTTCAATGAGTATTTACCAACCAAAATACAAAAGGGTGGAAACCAACTGTTTTTAATAATTAACTTACATTTTTCTTAACTGGTTTCCATTTTCCCTTTTCTTTGGGGTTCTAATTAATCTGGTTTTTCCCCTATTATCTGCTTTCCCACAGTTGAGTTTCATAGCTGCATCTGGTAATAATTTCCCTTATTTTGTAAATATCACCAGGCTTGAGATTGAATTCATTTTAGCATTCTTTTCTGACTAATCAAGGTACATTCTTGGACCAGATTTATGAAGCTGTCTCTCCTTTCTAGTCACTAATAGTCATGCTTCTCACTTACCTTACACTGGGGTTTTTCCTTCCAAGATGAAGAGGCTGTTTCAGGCATTGTCTTTGGTGTGGCCATGTCAAGCTCAGCAACAGCTCTTTTAACATGCATCTCCTTGGATTCTATTACCTGATTTGAGATTGTTTCAGTACTTTCAATATTTGCACTGGCTGTGGTCTGACAACATTTACTTAGTGACAAAAATTTTTTCAGACTGCCCGTGCTTAGTGTTGACTTAGGAGAAACTTTGCTTTGTACTGGCTTCTTGACTTCTTTCACTTGATCTTCAAATACTTCAATGCCTTCTTCTTTTGCAAAAGTCTCTCCTAAAACAATTTCCTCTTCATCAGAATCTGGGTCCTCTTTTATGTAATTTTCCAAATACATTTGATCAATATCATGAGCTACTAATCGAACAATAAGATCATTTTTACTTTGAACATCTCTTAAGAGCTCCACCTTTGTAATATCAGGCTTTCTTATATTCTGAAATGAATTTCTGGCAACGGCCTGAAATTAAAAGTATAGCAAATATTAAAAATAAATGCCTAAATCACTTTCCTGTAGTTCGATTATGATGTAGCTATTTTCTTATAATTTCTAGTTTCGATTTAAGTAATATCTTCAAATATCGCTTAATTATATATTAGCAATATTTTTAAAATAAATAAAGACACATAACAAAACATATTTGTTGGCATGCCATTTTTCTTATTAAGGTATTTATTACATACCTTAATCTAATATAACTTTCCAAAAGTCAGAGCAAGGTCTAGCATAATTAATTTAATTACTTCCTCTTTATCATTTATCTTGAAAGTTTTGTGACAGAAGTAGACAGGATAACCTATTTTCCAAAATCCTAAGTAAGGGATTATAGAGAAATCTAAATATACATATTTTCAAGAAAAAAAAAAAGGGCAACACATTCATTGATCTTGATTTTCAAAAGTAATGAATAACCCAAATAATGGTTTTAAAATTTTTACTCCCTATTCCTCCACTTTTTATCTTTTGGGCATATTTTCCAAAAGATTCTTCAAAATATAAATCTTCATTTTTTCTCACTTCCTCAGTTAAATCTCAGTTTCCACTGTCAATGTTAAAGACAGATCAAAGAAAAGACAATTATAATTAAATGACAGAATTTTCCCATTTCTCTAGCTTTTGACCACTCCACAGAATCTCAAAATTAAGTTAATAATATTAGCTCTCAACCTCCCTTTGTAATAGCATAAACCAGTTTTTCAGATAATGGTGCCTCAAAGGACTATCCATAGAAACAAAAATACCAGAATAACCTCTTTAAAACATTTTTAAAAATCAATTTTGATTATCTGTGCTATTGGAGGAAAACAGTGGTTTAGAAAATCCAAAATCATTTTATATGGGTTTGGGATATATTACTACAAATGGTTTTAGTATGCATATGTCTGGTGTGTGAAGAATCTATGGTACCTTAAAACAGAGAATTAAGTCTTGAGGCAGAACCAACAAGAGTCTAGGGTTTCTAACCTATCTTTCTTTCTCTTCACTGCTGTGTCCTTTTGTTGAAGACAGATAACATTGGTAGCCAGATTGGTGCCAATCACATGTCTTAACTGAGTTCCCCATGTCTTGTCCTTTATTGTTTTATTTTTAGGATGGCTTATTTTTAGGATACAATGGGGGTATAGGCATTGGGCAAACATTCATGTTTGAAGAGGGAGAGATTGGCCTGATAGAAGGGGCTACAGGCCTCATGCAAGTCCAAAATCCAGTAGTGCAATCATTATATTTTAAAGCTCCAAAATAATTTCCTTAGACTGTATGTCCCACATCTAGGGCACCGTGATGGAAGAGGTAGGGCTCTCAAGGCCTTGGGCAGTCCTGCCCCTGTGGTTTTTGCAGCACTGGTGGATACTCTTAGAGGTTGCTGAGTGCCTGAGGCTTTTCCACGCTGAGGGTGCAAGATGCCAGTGGATCTACCACTCTGAGGTCTTCAGAATGCAGACTCACTTCCAACAACTGAACGAAGCAGTGCCCCAGTGGAGACTCTGTGTGGGATCTCCAACCTTAACATGCCCCCTCTGCACGCCCTGGTAGAAGTTCTCTGTAAGGGCTCCACTCCTGCAGCAGGCTTCTGCCTGGGCATGCAGGTTTTTCTGCACACCCTCTGAAATCTAGGCAGAGGCTGAGAAGCCTCATTTACTCTTGGATTCTGTGTGCCTATAGGCTTAACACCACATAGAAACCACCAAGGCTATGGCTTGCAGCCCAAGCTGTAACTGGGCCCCTTTGAGCCACAGCTAGAAAAGTAGCTCTGGGGATGTGAGGAATGTTGTTCTGAGGTTGCAGAGCCCATGAAACCATTCTTCCCGCCTAGGCCTCTGGAACTGAAATCAAACAGATTGCAGTGAGGATCTCTGAAATGCCTTTGAAGCCTTTTCTCCATTGTCTTGAATATTAGCACTTAGCTCTCTTTCAGTTTTGGAAATTTATCAACTGGTAGTTTTTCAGTTTTGGAAATTTATCAACTGGTAATTTAACAACTGGTAGTTTTACAGCCATCTTGAATTTCTCTCTCAAAAAACAAACAAACAAACAAAAAATCTTTTTTTTTTTCTCTGCCACATGGCCAGGCTGATTTTTTTTATTTTTTATTTCTTATTTTTGAGGTGGAGTCTTGCTGGAGTCCAGCAAGAGTGCAGTGGCATGATCTCGGCTCACTGCAACCTCTGCCTCCCAGGTTCAAGTGATTCTCATGCCTCAGCCTCTGAAGTAGCTGGGACTACAAGTGTGTGCCATCATGCACAGGTAATTTTTGTATTTTTAGTGGAGATGGAGTTGGAGATCATGTTGGCCAGACTCGTCTCAAACTCCTGACCTCAAGTGCCCCACCCACCTCGGCCTCCCAAAGTGCTGGGATTAGACGTGTGAGCCACCACGCTCAGCCAATTTTCCAAACTTTTATGCTCTGCTTCCCTTTTAAATATAAATTCTGAATTTAAGTCATTTATTTCCTCCTGCATCTGAGAATACGCTGTTAGAAGCAGCCAGATCACATCTTGAATGTTTCATTTATGAGAAATTTCTTCTGCCAGCTATCCTAGGTCATCACTCACATGTTCAAACTCCACAAAACTCTAGGGCATGGACACAATGCACCCAAGTTTTTTGCTAAGGCATAACAAAAGTGACCTTTGCTCTAGTTTCCAGTAAATTCCTCACTTCCATCTGAGACCTCATCAGCCTGGACTTCATTGTCCATTGTCTGTTAACCAGTTCCAAAGTTGCTTCCATATCTGCAGGTATTTTTTACAGTAATGCCCCACTCCTTAGTACCAATTTTCTGTGTAAGGCCATTCTTCCACTGCTATAAAGAAATTCCTATGAGTAGGTAATTTATTTAAAAAAGAGGTTTAACTGGCTCATGGTTCTGTATGCTTTACAGGAAGCATAGTGGCATCTGTTTTTGGGAAGGCCTGAGGAAGCTTCTGATCATGATTGAAAGCAAAATAAGAGCAGACACATCACATGATGAAGGCAGGAGGAAAATAATGTGTATGTGTTGGGCAGGGTGCAGGGGAGTGCCACTTTTAAATGACCAGATCTTGCAAGAACTCACTGCTGCAAAGACAGCACTAAGCCATGAAGGGTCTGTCCCCATGACCCAGACACCTTCCACCAGGATCCACCTCCAGCATTGGAGATTACAATCCAACACGAGATTTGGGCAGGGATAAATATCAAACTATATCAGGGTGTGAAAACTTAAAGCATTAATTAACATATTTACTAGCCTTGAGATTCAGTTTAGTGGGTTGCAGAAGAGTGCTGAAAAAATTTACTCTAAGCTTATGCTCCAGGAAGCATGGTTCTATAAAACTTTGGTAATTTTCCAGGCTATGGACTACATGCCTAAGCATACTCAGCACTCTCACAAATGCATACCATCAGTTAAAGGGATTTTAATAAAAATCAAAATGTCTGATGGATCAGTGCAACCTTTCTGTTGGCGAGACAAATCTTTTGTCCTCAGTAGTAGTTTCCTTGTAATAAGGACATTATTTTTGGCATTTTAAATTCCCAGTTAAAATATTTGGGGACTGCGTATGGGGTGACAGGACAGAGTTAGGTCTAGAGCAATAGGAGAGAGGCTCATAAAAATAGCAGCAATACTACAGCTGGGTTTAGAAAATACAAGTGTGTAAGTGGAAAGAAAATGGATACATCTTGAGAGGCCAGGGCAAATGGGAAAGGCTAACATAATTGAAGTAAAATAGAACAAATGTAATCTAAGAGTCTGCAGTCTAATGTCTGCCGATGAATGTTACTAAAAGAAAATGAGTACTACTCTGGTGCTTTAAATTTGAAAATTAAAACTATTTTAGATTGTTCCATATATCCTGATATTCTTTTAACTGACCTGCTTGAACACCTTTAGATATCCATAACGAACTAAGGAACTACACAAGTTTGCTGCTTTTAAATATTTAAATGACAATTATAACTTCTTTCAGTCTGGTTTTACTGTGAAGGGTATGTGCTTATAATCTCATTCTTAAAAAGAAAAATTCAAAAGGATTGTCTTAGGAAAACTAGTTTGAGACTTTTAGAGTGAGCCACAGAACTAACATGACAAATCCTAGTGAATAATATGACTGTATGGATGAACTGATGCAACCAATTCTCCTATTGGGCTGAGCAACAGCAACAACAATGAATGCATTTTCATATACTTATTTGAGGAAAGAAATCACAGAAGAACCATGTCTCACTATTCACTCATTTTCATGCCATTGCTTTTGCACTTACCTCTAATGGTTTTACATCCAGTCTTCCAGTCTTATCCAATGAGGGACGTCTTTCTTTCTTTCTCTTTTCTAAATTAGGTGCTTCTGAGGAGTAATTTCTCCCACTTATTGATGCTCTTCTCAGTTCTGCTATGCTACGTCCAGTTACTTGCAAACACTCCTGCTTCAGCTTCTCAAGAGGTTGAGTTTTTATAGAAATAACTGCTAAGTGTTCTGAAATAATTTTTGGATCTATTTTGACTGGTTTTTTTCCAACATGTGGAACTATTTTAATTGGAGATTCCTCTTCAGATAAATTTTGATCTAACTTTTCTTGCTCTAATTCAGGAATCACATTAAAAGCATGTTCTTGGGCCTTTCGAACAATTCTATTAATGTCTAGCTCTCCAGGGAGATCAGCATTTGAAATTGTTGAGCTAATTGTATCTAACGGAAAACTTGAAACTCCATCAATAATTAAACTAGCCACTTTTTTAGGAAAGGCTGTGTTTGTATCTTTTATATCATAATAAAGCTGTTTGTTGGTTCCTGATTGTTGCAGTATGTTGCTATAAACAGAATCAACAACCTGATAAATCATTTCTCTACTTTCTGGCTTTAAACAGTGCTCTTCAGGATCAGAAGTTATTAGACTAATGCTATTTCTGGAAATTTCAGTTGTTACCGATTTTGATAGTTGAGATGCAATTTTATTTAACTCAGGCTTTGATAAGTTCTTTTCATCTTTGCTTGAGGAACCTGGCAACCTTACTAGTTTAGCCAAGAACAAGGCCAACACTTCTTCTAAAAGTTTGGCATCTAATGTCAAACCTTTTCTGGGTGAAGACTTTTCCTTAGACTTAAGTTCATCAATAATTTTGATCACTTTTTCCATAATTTTGACAGCTTCCAGAACTAATTCTGAATTTGATACTTCTTCCTCTACTTGAGGTTGAAATTCAGAATTGGAAATTGCATTCACCATTAAAAAGCCTATTGTATCAGAGAGAACATTGCTTTTACCCATTAAATCTTTAAATATAGAAGTATAAGAGCCAGAGTGCTTTAAAACGCTGGTATAAATATAATTAACTATGTTTTCAATAGTTGCATTATCAGCTACAGGCACAGTAGGTGATTTCTTGGTGGGTGGTACAAGTTTAATCTTACTTTTGGAGATAAATTCTTGGACTGAATTTAGTACTTTTGAAGTTATTTTTTGCATATCAGTTTCTAGAGATTTGGTTCTTTCTTTATGCACTTTTGGAAATATAGATAAAAGCTTTGATAAAAATTTCACAGCAATTTCTTCTATTATGTTGTAAGACAGCTTATGAGCATGTGATGGTTTAGGTAGGGGCACATCAGTAGTTTGGAAAACATCTTTAAGGATCTTTTCAACAATGTTTTCGACTTCCACACACTGATGTGGAGTTAGCTCTCCACAAAAATAGCTCTGCAACTGATTGCTAGCCACTTCTTGTAGAACCAAGTCAACTATGTTTTCTGAAAGGATTTTGCATCCACTGATTACACAATTTTGTATAATCTCTTGTGATCCAAACTGTGGCAAGAGATTATTATAAACAGACTGAACAACTAATTGAATAATTTCATCATCCTCAGATTGTAAGGTTTCTACATATTGTATAGTCATATATTTATCTTGGGAGATCTCTCTTGCAACTGCACTTACTAACTTCACTTGAAGGAAATTTAGTTCTGTGGACAAATTGTCCTCAGGTTCTTTTGTTTTAGTGCTGGATATTGTTGAGAAAATTTTGGATAAAAGAGCAGAAATCACATTCTCTAAAAATTTATGAGGTAACATTATTGTATATGGTGATGAAGTTTGACATTCTTTGCTGGCTGTTTGGGCCAACTTTTGGACCTCTTTAACAACATCCTTAGATTCCAGAGGCAAACATGCTGAAACTGAAACCTCATCACAAAATATCAAGTTAACCTGATGCTGGAAAATTTCATTTATCACTGCACCAGTTAGTCTTCTTGCTAAATTTTCTCCATTACTGTTTATATTCTTACAAATAGAGTCTTGAGATCCATATTCATTTAAAATATTACAAACAGAAGAGTGAACAACTTTATTGACCAATGTTTTGTCAGTTGATGGTATCTTATCTGAAGAAAGTTTTCTTGTCATTTTATGCATAGGTGGCATTTTATCTGCAGATTTTATCTTGATGCTGGATGGTGCTTCATCTGTAGTTGTCTCTTTATACCTGGGAGGTACTTGAGGAACTGAAGACACTTTACCCACAGGGAACTGATTTCCCTTATCTGGCCTGAAAACCTTAATTTGAGCATCTGAAAACTCCTTTAACAGTGAATTGATGAGTTTCATAGCAGTGTCATAGAGTTTAGCTTGATTTTGCTTATCACTAACTTTTTGACATCTATCTTGTATTTGTGTTTCTGGTATAGAAGAAAAGATCAATTTTTTAACCATCTCAGTAATAACATCTTCTAAAAACTTAGCGGGAAAAATTCCAGGTTTACTCTCTGGTTGGTTTTGAGAATTGTCTGGTTTACTGGGTTCACTTTTAATCTCCTCTCTTACTTTCTCTTTTTCTCTCTCTTCCTCTTCTTTTTCTTTGGCAGGGACATTTTCGTTAGTTGAGGAGGATAATTCTTTTGTTGTAACAGACTGTGCTGAATCCCTGCCAATCTCTTGAATTACATTTAATACATTATCACCTGGGGGCCTTCGGTCGTAACTGAGTTTTGAATAATATGCTGGTTCTGGAGAAGAAGATAGTTCTAAAATATCTTCATAAATATTTTCAATGACATTTTGAACATATTCATAATCTGAGTGGTGTTCCTCATCCCTACCTGTTTGTGTTGGAGAGTCTCTTCTCCCCTCACTGACTGATGTTTGAGTTCTTATTTCCAAAGTCTCTGTTTTAGTTCCTAGATTTCTCTTGGACTTCGAGGAGGGTAACTGAAAGAGCTTGTCATCTTTTTTGAATGATCTTTCTCTTGCATTGTCAATCTTCTTTTTATAGCCTATTTCAGAATCTGATTCAAGTACTTCCTTCTCATATTCTGTATCATCAATTATTAATGAAAAATGTGTGTGTACCTCATGATCTTTCCCTTTTTTATCTCTTGGAATTAAATTTATTTCCTTCTCAATTTCTTTATTAAATGTTTCACTCAAATTTAGCTCCTGAGTATCTTTACTTTTCACAGTGGTAGTTGAAGAAGTAACTTTTGATACATTCTCACTGTGTTTCTGAGTACAAATTCCCACTTTATTTTCATCCACTTTCTTTTCATTTGTCACACTTGTAGCCAACCCTGATGTCAGGTTAATTATGCTGCTTTTCATAATTGCATTTATAGAGCTAAGTACTGGATTTTGGATGTCACCTTTTTTCATTGATGTGTCCTTGGTTTTAAAACTTTTCTTTCTACTCACTGTGCCTCTATTTATTTCCAAAGTGCTCATCGTGTTTCTGCAGTCTGAGGTGGAAGAAGTATCTTTATATGATTGATCTGGTAAAGAAAGTTGGTTCTCTTTTGCACATCTGCTTATTTGTGTAAAGGTGTTTTGTAGTAGGTGTTGAACCCTTTGGGTGATATTATCTGGATTTAGAAATGAAAAGAAGGTGGAAGACCAGTCTCCTGAAAAAAGTGGTTGAATCTTGAATGCAGACATTGCCTTCTGGGTTAGAGCAGCAATCATCCCTATAGCAATGTTACTTTCATCACCTTTTTGAATATCATTAGATGTGCATTTTTCTATGAACTGATCATATACAAAATTGGATACTTTATCAACTGTCTCTTTATCAATTGCTGGAAAAGAAAATATTTTTTCAGCATTTGGTAAAACTTTAATTTCATTTTTCATAAATTCCCTTATCAGAGAATTTGCAAGTTTTAGAGCCACGCCCGTAATATCTAGCTCTGTTATTTCATTTTTCTTAGAATCTTCAGTAATAATGGGGAGAGAACAAAATTTGTGAACAAGGTCAACGATTATATCTTCCAAAAATGTAGCTGAATATAGAGAAGGCTGTGTCTTTTCTTTACCAGATTTAGCAAGTTTGGAGATATGGTCATAATCAGATAAGTCACTGAAAGATGATTCTTCACCATGTAAAAATGGATGTAAATGATGATACATGATTTCTTTCATAATAAAACCAGCTAATTTACTGAGGAATGAGCGTCCTTTTTTGTCTGCATCTTTTTGTACTTCAGCTTGGAATTCAGATGTTTTCAAAATATTATTACATATGGAGTCAACGAAATTTTCAGTAGGTTCTAACTTCATACTTTCTGCATTATCTTCTGCCATGGAAAGTCGAATCTCATGTTCAGAAATTTCTTTTATAATTTCATCAGTCAATTTTGAAGCTATGTTCACAAATTCATCATCTGGTGGAAGCTCTTTCTCTTTTAGTTCATTTTCAGTGTGAGTTGAAGGGTTGACATGCGCTAGAAGCCTGTAAATCATATCTTCTAAAAGAGAACGAGGCAACACAGTAATATATGATGGCAAGGCATGGCTATCCTTTGTGATTATGTTAAGCACATTTCTGATGATATTATCAGCTTGGGGGTATGAATAAGAAGAAGACTCTAATTCTCCTGCAACTAATGACTGCACTTGATAATCATATATTTCTTCCAATAGCAAATAATATATTTTCCTACCAAAACATATTGTGTCACTTTGTATAACCCTATGTATTTGAATCAGAGACTTATATTGATCTAATACTTTTCCATATACAGAGTTGACTATTTTTTGAACCATTTCTCTATATCTTTCTGAGAAACACAAATTTTCATCAAAGTTATCTGCAACTAAAATCTCTGATGTGGTGAACTCCTGAACAATTGAATTTACCAATGTTGTAACAATCCTGGCAAGTTTCGGTTTTGCTCTATCTGGGTTTTCAGTAACCAACATATTACGTGAAAATGCATAAAGAATTTTGCATAAGAGCTCAGAAATTACTTCCTCCAAAAAGACAGATGAGTTGACAATAAAAGATAATTCTCTTTGTTTAGGATCTATTGCTTTCGATTTATAAGTTTGATCAACTGCAGCCAAAAGGCGAGTTTCATCTTCAGATAAAAATGATTGAATATGATGGTTAAAGATTTCTTTTATTATAAAACTTGCTATTTTTGGAACAGGTATGTCACTTATGCTCTTCTTGTCTTTTGTAATGGACTGGTATATATTTGAATGAGAAAGATCAGCATAAATGGAATCCACCATAGACTGGATATCTTTTGCTGAAATCATACTCTGTTTTTTATTCCCATATTTAATAATACATATTTCATGTTTTGAAATTATTGACATAATTTCATTTATCAGTTTTATCACTGTATTGCTTAAGTCTGATTTAGTAGTATCTGACTGCTCTGCACTGGTGTTCAATGGACTGATCTGAGATGTAAGCTGAGTAACTATTTTTTCCAAATGACTATGTGATAACATAGTGGTATACATTGTTGAAGCTTGTCTTTTGAATCTTGATTTACTTATATCATACTGAACTCTTTTTATTAAAACATTTGCACTGAGTTTGGAATATGACTTAAAAGGTAGATTTGCTATAAGATCTGGGTGAATTTGGAAATCAAAAATTTCAGCCAGGATGACATTAGTTATTCTTGCAGCCAATGTCTTTGTGTCATTTAGAAAATCTTTATTGGGCACTACTTCCATTTCATATTCTTGCAAAACTTTGCTATACACCATGTCAACAATTGTTTTGACTACATCCCTCTCCACTGGAGGTAAACACAATCTTTCCTCAGTATTATCTATAATGCTAACTTGGGCTTTTGAGAATTCCCCTATAATCAAATGTATGAGTTCTTCAGCTTTCTCAAACAGTTCATCTTCTGAATCTCTTATGGATTTTGTTTGTACAATGCCTACTAACCTGTGGAATATTTTTCTTAAAACCCCAGAGATTACATCTTCCAAGAATGTTGAAGAGTAAACACTGGTATAAAATAACTTCCTTCTCTCATCATCAAAATATGTGTCTGATGAAGATAATGATTTTCCATTCACAAATGGCTGAAGATGTTTTTGACAGATATGTTTAATGATGAAACCTGCTATTCTATCGATAAGAACATCATTACTGCTTACGATATTTTGCACAGCTGATTCTTGAGAACCAGAGGTTTGCACAACATTTTCAAATACTGAATCAACAAGGTGCTGAATATCATCTTCTGAATAAATAAACTTGGTTTCTTCTTCCTCTTTTGAAAATCTAATTTCATGTTGGGAAATTTTCATCCTAATATCACTAATTAGGTTTGAAGCAATGTCATTGAAATTCACTCTTGATATATCTTTTTGGGTTTCTCTGTTTAGAACCAGGCTAGATGCAGAAGAAAATAATTTAGATAATAGTACTCTGATCATATCTTCTAAAAATGTGTAGGGCAGCAAGGTGTTATATAGAGGTACACTCTGGCTTGGCTCAGTAGATTTACTGATATTACTAAGGATGTCCTGAGCAATATTCTCAGCCACTGAATTGGAATAGGTAGAAGCTGACAAATCCCCAGAAAACAGTGGATGAAGAAGGTAATCTGAAATAGCTGCTACAATTAAATTGGTAATATTTTCCACAAAAGTGCCACTATCTTCAGACTCTTTATCAACAGCAAAGTCTAGCCCATGCTGCTTTAAAGCATTTCTATAAACTGTGGTGACAAGTTCATCCACAATATCTGTATTGAAAGAAGAGAAAGACTGTTCTTTGTCATCATAAAGAATGTGAATTTTAGCTTTATTGAAGTGCTTATTTATGGAGTTTACTATTCTTTGGGTCATGTTTTTCAACTCAATTTCAGTGTTGTGTTTTGGGCTGAAAATCTTTGACAAAAGTCTGGCAACAATCTCCCTTACAAATGAATCAGGGTGAATATCTAAGGGTGATTGCTTCTGAGGTCTGTGTGACTCTATCACTTCACTCAGAACCTGTTTAACAATAGTAGACACTGGATCCAGTGGCGTCCCTGGATGACATAAAACCTCTCCACTCAAAAATGGTTGAAGATGATTTTCGATAATCTCTTGGATGATACAGCTGGCTATTTGGTCAACCATAATTGGGCTTCGGCTTACTATACTTTTTTGTATTGAAACAAGAGAGTCAGACATTTGTAAAATATTACAATAAACAGAATCCACCATCTTTTGGAGTTTTTTTCCAGTATATAGATATTGTTTATCATATATAGTGAAACAGATTTTATGTTTTGAAATGGCTGACATAACCTTATCTATTATACAAGTGGACATTTCATTAAAATCAGAACTCATTAAATATTTTTTTCCTAAAGAGGAACATGTAATGGGTGGAGGAATTAGCTGAGATAAAAGCCTTCTTATGACATCTTCTAAAAATGAATGTGATAACATGGTACTATAGTCTGATGAAGACCTGGGTAGAGAAGTAAATTCTGTTAGGTTACTTTGAAGCTTTTGCAATATAATTTCAGGTTTGAGAGGGTAATATGAATGGGGTATGAGATATTCCCTGAAGCAAGATGGCAGTTTGTAGTCTAAAATCTCTAACAATATGCCATTTGTTATTTGTTCTGCTACTGAGGCATTGTCGTACACCAGATTATTACCACAGATCATTTTTAATTCATACTGCTGTAAAACATCATAATAAACTGAGTCAACAATTTTGCTAACTGTTTCTGTATGAACTGTTGGAAAACACAGCCTTTCTTCAGCATTCCGTAGAACGGTGACTTGAGCATTATTAAATTCATTCACTACACTGTTGACAAGTAATATATTCATCTCATTGAGCCAGGACACAGTGATGTTTTTATTTTTGCCCCACAATGACATAGAGAGATTAAAAAACAATTCTGAAATTATTCCTTCCAAAAATGTGGCTGAATAAACACCAGCATATATACCTTCCTGATGTAGCTTATTATGAATGGCTACCTTATCCATTTCCTTTGTTCTCTGTTTTTCAAGAGGTGACACAGAAGAGGATTTTACTGCACAATGCTTGTCAAATGGTGCTTGTATTTTGGAGCTAACCACACTGGGATTATTCATGGATACTGTCAAAGAATTACTGTCATAGCTACCGAGTCCTAAAGAACTTTCATTTTGTCCTAATTCTATTAATTCTGGCTTTCTTGCTTTTGTGAAACTGGACTGTATTTCTCTTGTCCTATAGTTCAGATACTCATTTGCAAAAGGCAGACTTTCCGGAGCTTGTTGTATACTGTGAGATAACTTGTCCATCAGTGATTTAACCAAGCTGTGGGAAATAATAGTAAGCATAGAGTCTGATGACAATAAGTCTTGATCAATTTCTGCCACATTCTCCAAAAGTTCTGACATGTAATCTACTTGAAGGCATTCATGGTCCATTCCTCCCTTATGATAATCAGATTTTCCATCTTCTACATTTTGAAGCATTTTTAAAAGTTGACATTCTTCTTCTGATGTTTCCTCTGAAACAGACCCTTTATCAAGAAAAGCAGTGCTTGTGCATTCTTCTAAAAGCATTCTGATAAGTTTCTCACATACAACATTGAGAAGAAAAACTGATTTTGAGGAGAGCTGTAGGTTATTGCTAAGTATGCTAGTAGGTTGTTCATTATTTGAGGAGTAGAAAAATGTTCTTTGTATTTTACCAGAATCCATACCCCTATCTAGGCATTCATCTGGTGAAAATAAATCTGAAACAATATTAAAAACTTTATTGACTACTTCTTTGGATTCACTTGTTTTTAGGTTACCAACCAGGCTGTTTAACTTATATGTAAGATAACTTAATTTATTTTTTTGAAAAGGTTGATCAATTTGTTGAGTAGAGAATTGCCAGTCTCTGGGGCCTTCCTGTCTATTGATTTTGTTGCAAACAGATACACTATTTTTGCTATGCATAGAAAATGATTTGTTTCTTTCATTGCTTTCAAAGTGATAATCTATTTCTATTTCTTTGGACAGTACATGAATCACTCCTACTAAGAGATCCTGAAAGAGGTCATCAAAGCCACCAGAAACTATTCCTGGACAGTAAATGTATTTTGTTGGTATGGAAACCATTTTCTGTGCAATGTCAGCCTGTATAATTTTATTATTAAAAAGAATTTTAATAATGATTTCAGAAATACATAAAGCAAGTTCTCCAATGGAAATTGACCTGCTCTCAAATACTTGAGAATGAATTGAAATAATCTTGCTAAATGTTGCTTCTTGAATTTCCCATGCTTTCTCTTTTTCTCTACCCTTTTTGGTGCCATCAGAAATGCTTGAAGTTAAATGGTAAAGTACTGACTCAGTGAGATGTTCACAACATTGATAAATTGAAGAATCATTGTATATGTTTCTTAGGAGCTGTTTTGATTCATATTTTTTCCTTGACCATGTAGAGACAGCAGACATCTCTTCTTCACTAAAAACTTAAAAAAGAAAACATCGTAATTTTAGCATGGATTAAAGAAAAGATAGAAAATTTGATGTATTTGTAATTATTATTTACATATATATTTCACCCTTTGAGCAACTCACTAAAGAAAAATCTAGAAAAAAAAAAAGAAATTAGATTTTCCTCAAACATTTATTTATCACCTGTAGAATCTTAATTTTAGCCAGTAAGTTAAGAAAATAGCACCCCAAAATTCAATCCTTTAAGTCAAATACTGATGTCTGCCTTGGTTGGATGGTTATGAACTCTAAGAAGTTGGAAAGTTTGGGGCAGAGAAATAATTTCCAGGTTTAGCGAGGCATCCTACCATGTCTCCAGTGATATCTAGAGGTGCCATATAATTATTTTAAAATATCTTTAGACAAAACATTTAATGTTATGCTATGTTTTACTTTTAGGACATTAAGGAGTTGTGTTGCAGTATCAAGTTGACTAAAATAAAAATGTGGCAACTCCAGAAAAGCTAGTAATAGATTGCAATAGCAGTAGTACTTTAACCCCTAGATTATAGTTTGTCACAAAGAAGGAAGGTTGGCCCAGCCAGGTGAAGAACTCTATATTTGTTATGTCCAAAATTGTATTTGTTACAAATCATTACCTACTTGCAATGGCCAACTTCTGGGTGTGGCAGCTAAGAACAACACAGTTATTTTCCTCAGAACCTAATTACATATTACATTATCTTCATGTGTTATCAGGCAAGACTCTATGCAGATAGAAGACTTTAGGCTGAGCTTTGACTACTACACAGGTTTTGGCCATGTCAAGATAAAGGTAATGAGGAAAAGGTATTCCTAGCAGAAGGAGGAAGATGAGCGAAGTCACTGGAAGACCTTGGAGATGTCTAAGAATAGGAATAGAATTGATAGAGCCAAGTATCAATGTGATCAAATCATGGATCTTCTCTTGCTTGTTTTGCTTTTCTTTATTTTTCTAAAATCAATTAAGTCATGCCTGGAGTAAGTCTATTTAAGAGTGTGTAGCTGTAGGCTGGGCGCGGTGGCTCAAGCCTGTCATCCCAGCACTTTGGGAGGCCGAGACAGGCGGATCACGAGGTCAGGAGATCGAGACCATTCTGGCTAACAAGGTGAAACCCCGTCTCTACTAAAAAATCCAGGCGAGGTGGCGGGCGTCTGTAGTCCCAGCTACTCAGGAGGCTGAGGCAGGAGAATGGCGTGAACCCGGGAGGCGGAGCTTGCAGTGAGCTGAGATCCGGCCACTGCACTCCAGCCTGGGCAACAGAGCGAGACTCCGTCTCAAAAAAAAAAAAAAAAGAATGTGTAGTTGTAGCTACATTACCGTCCACCTTGGGAGAATACTGGTTTTAAGGGTGGAAAATAACCTCCTTGTGCAGGTGGGTAGGACTGCTAATATCTCCAATTAGAATGATGTGTGAGTGATGTATCTGGGCTGGTGATGTAGCAAGTAATTATTGGTAACTGAAACTACTGTCCTAGTTCTGGGGTATTATAGTAATATTAAACTGAATTTTATTAATTGTCAATAATCAACAGTTTTTGATATACAAAATGACTATTACAAGTTGCTTAACCTAATATATAAACATGAACATACTTAGAAAGGTAATGCAAATATAATCCCTGTAATGATACAGTTGGAGTATTATACCTAAAAGGAATTTAAGTCAGAATACTGGAATGCAAATTAAACAAGATATTTAATTCTACTGTTCTTTTAAACTTTGTATAATAGTAACAAAGCCTTCAAGAATACAAAAATTAAATGACTTTTAATCAGTTAACTGCACATCCCATATGATTATAAAGAAGTTATGCATAAGAATTTTTAAAACCCTTTCACATTTTTGCCTCATGCTCAATGAAAATCTCCTGCTTTAAAATGGTCTCATTTTCTCTCATTTATAGATAGAGAAAACTGAGCAACACACTCTTCAAATTCAAATCCTGCAAACAGTTATTTATTTATTTATTTATTTATTTATTTATTTTTGTATTATGATGAATTAGAAAGCAACTGAGGTTGAGCATGGTGGCTCATGCCAGTAATCCCAACACTTTGAGGGGCCAAGAAAGAAGGATCACATGAGGCCAGGAGTTTGAGACCAGCCTGCGCAACATAGCAAAATCCTGTCTCTACAAAAAGAGTTTTAAAATTTAGAGTGCAGTGGCATGCCTGTGGTCCCAGCTATTTTGGGGGAAGGCTGAGATGGGAGGATCTCTTCAGTCCAGGTGTTCAAGGCTGCAGGAAGCAATGATCATGCCACTGTACTCTAGCCTCAGTGACAGAGACACTATTTCTAAATAAAATAAAATAATAAATTTAAAATAAAATTAAAATGTAACTCAGTAGTCATCTACTTCCCAGGCTATTTTCAGAAAAATAGTGAATACAGCTTTTTAGACAGGAGATCTTTTAAACATGTCTTTTACTGCTTTTCTTCCTAAATCATGCAAATTTTCAGTGTATGTTCTTTCTTGCTTACCTGTAGTTTCAAAGTTCTTCAAATATGTGACCACAGATGTGGTGACATGTCTTGCTATCAAATGAACTTCACTGGAACCCATTTCATGATCAGCAAAAGTAAAGGACTCAACTTCCTTCAGAGTCTCTATCTTTGGGTACTCCTTATTTTTCAATTTTTGCAATAAAGAAGAATCTTCCCTGCTGGCTTCAAGGTTTTTGTTTTCTTTCTCAGGTATATAGTTGGTTTTTTTATCCTGCATTCTAAGCAAACTTTTTTCCTTATCCTTTTGTCCTCCAGATACTTCAGATAAAGAACTTTGTGTTGATATGAAAAATGGCTTCATTATTTCCCTGTTCTCATTAGCACGTGGTTGACTCGGAAAGCCACAGCTGGATAGCACAGTATTGACAATATTTTCTGCAGCTAAACATATTTTGAGTGGAGAAATGGTTGTCTGAATTTGGTTTGGTTCAACAACTGGTTTTAGGTTCTCATAATGAAATACTCTTAGATTTTCACGTTTTCCCATTTCTATGAATGATAAGACTTGCTTTAATGCTGCTTCTGTAGAGTCATTTGCTTTCCTAAGCAGCTTTTGTAAGATACTGCCTTCAGGGAGGTAGCTATTTCCTTTCTTGGTCTCATCAAAACTACCAAAGTTAAATTCCCTTGGTCTGTGGTCTTGTACTTTGTTTCTAGAATACGATGGCATAGTTTCTGAATCAGGCCTTTTCATTGGCTCTGAGTTTTTAACTGTGTCTTCTACAAAGGATCTAACAGAGGTGGGTAAATCTGATGAAATCCTGTACTTTTCTTTCATATCTTCATCTGAACAAAACGCAAACCCAGTTTTACTCACTTGTGAAGGATTAATCCCCAAACTACCTTCCTTTAACTTTGATGTAAACGTTTTCATATTAGTTGCTAATTCAACCTGATTAACAGTGTAGGCATTTTCAGCTCCTTGTAGCAAACTTTCCCTTGAAAGCTTTTGTATCAAAGACTCATTGAAATAAGTACACTGGTCCATTAGTGTGCCAATGATCTCACTTGCTACAATGTTCTCTTTCAATATGCTAATTGAAGATGGTTCCATTTGGCTTATTTCCTTGTCTAGCTTGTTCTTAATTACAGCAAGCATGTCACTAATGATATTAACAGCATATGTAAGTAATTGTGAATGGAATGAATGAACCCGTAGAAGGATGTTCTTTGTGTTTTCCTTGAAATTAATAGTATTTGACTCGGATTCATCAGAAAACATTTTCAGTGGTTGTAATTTTGGCAACATTTTTTTGTTTAACAGTTTCTGTTGGACAGAAGAAAGGTTTTCTATAGGCATTTTCACAATTTCAGAAAACTCGTATTTGGAGATATGTTTAAACTGCAAGTCCACAAATGACTCTAACATGTTTAAAACTGTTTCTACAATCTCTTGAACAATTTGGTTGCTAGAGCTCATAGAAATTTGGTCTTTCATTTTTGTGTTATAGATTGGTAAACTGCTGAGGCTGTGCTTGTTTGGAAAACCATATTTACTTTTAGCAGTAATGTGTTCTTTACTGTTTGATAGAGTTTCTTCACTATCTGGAGTGGGAATTTGGGACAGAAAGCATAGCTGTAATTTTTCAAATAGCATTTCAACAATTTCCCTTCCAAACTTGTTAATTTGTGCTTTAGTATCCTCAGCTCTAGTAGAAGCTCCTTTAAAATGATTATAAAACCTGCTTTCATAGTTCTCAAGAGGTGGCAAATTTAAAAGTGAAAGAGAATATTCTAATTCTTTTGCTTTTATTGAAATTTCAGTCAGAACATTTTCAGTTATCATCAATAGCTTACATTTTTCATTTTCCTTGTCATTTGATTCTGTTTGCCACTTGTCAAACATTTTTTTAAATATACCTTCTCTAGGAAAAATGTGCTCTAGCTGTGAAGAAACATTCTCCAAGTAAAAACATGCTTGTTGTTTAGGAAGGGATCCTGTGCCTATATTCCCCTGTGAAAGTTTGAGATGTGAGGATTTGATCGGGTAAGACAAATTGCAGTTATTTGTAACATACAATTCTTGCAAAACTCTATCAACTATTTTACTTGCAGCTATGATTTTATCAGATGGTAAAGCTTTGGTTTGCTTTACCTTTCCAAATTCCTTCACAATTGTTTCCAGTATATTAATTATTATATTGTTGGCATATATTTTTAGTTCTGAAGTGGGCAATTTTGTGTCCAGTAAATTTTTGGCATCTCCAGCTGACATGATGTGTGACAACCCAATGGCAGTCTTGGATCGGCTGTCTTTTGGGGTCTTCTCTCCAGGACCTAACTTGGTTTTGCTTTTGGCCTTAGCAGCACTCAGTCCTAAGTGTGATTTTTTTGTAAATTTAGGCAAAGTAGTCATTTTTGACCTTTCTTTTAAATTTGCTTTAAAGCATGGCTTAGGGCTGTCCTTAGGGCTGACCTTTAAAGTGTGTGGCCTTAAAAGTTGCAACTTATTAGCACAATACTCAGGGGACAAACTCTCTTCTAGATGAAGTGAGACAAAATTCGTGATCTTATTGAGAACCATTTGAATTAAATCTTTCTTCACTTGCAATGGTAAATATGGCAAAAAGGTGTTTTCCATCACAGAGATATTTTGACTGTCTACATAAGAATAAGCCTGTGGTATCACATATCTAGGGGAATTACTTATTTTTCCTGCTTGTTTAGTTTCTCTAAACCTTAATGGTTTCATTGGTAAGGAATCATTGTGGTCAGACGTTTCAACCTCTCTCCTACTTTTATTATTTTCATATAACGATGTCACAACTACCAAGTACATTTTCCCCAAAACACTTTCAACTATGTCATTTGCTACACTGTTAATATGTGATAGAAAACTGTTTTTCTGTGTTGTGTCTGATGTTTTAATTTTAGAATTAGATATAAAGTTGGAAGTTTCATTAAGGGGAGGCAAATGGCCTATGACTTCCATTACTCTTTGATACAACTTATTCAAAAGTTCTTCCACTGCACTGAGCAGTTCACCTTTTTCTTTGTTTTTTGGTTCTCCATTTCTCATAAATATTTCTTCCAAAACAATTATCTGCCTTTTGTTTTCCAATATCATTTTGTTTTGTTCTAATGGATACTTTGTAAATAGAGATTGATTGGTACTTCTTTCCTTCTCTTTGTACCCCAACAATATTTCATTTGATAAAGTTAATTGTGAAAAGTTAGAATTCTCTTTTGAATTAAAACCAATTTCCTTTACAGATCTTTTATCATCTAACATCTTTAACATACTCTCAACAATTTCACTCACAATGATGTTTTCTTGGAACAAAATATTGTTTTGATATGGATATATCTTTTGGATTTCTACATCTAAGTCATTTTTAATAAGCTTCAAAATGGCACTGGCAATGATGTCAGCATATGTCTTAAGGCTAGCTTGTGATAGGTGAATTGTGGATCCAAGTTTTTTTCTGTGACTGACAAAAGTGAAATCTGTAAGCTCTTGGCTGAGAATGGTTTCAGTTGCTGATATTTTCAGGACATTTACATCTGATTCCATTTGGCTTGAATCATAAAGGATGCGGTCATTTTGTTTACAATTTTCCAATTCTGGGATAACAAATGACTTTTCTTTATGTTGGAAAGCAAGGGTAATTAATGAATCTATTCTTTCTGTGGCAAAAGATTCTAAACGATTAAGAATAGTTTTAGTAATGAAGTTAGCATTTTCCTCACATGAGTCAGTGGCAGATTCCTGGGTGTCTTCTTTCTCTACTACAGTTATCTGATTATTATCAGCATAAGCTGATTTCTGATTTTTTGAATATGAAAAACACTCTGTTTTCCTTTCAGTTTTTGACCCCTTAAGAGGCTGTTGACAGTCTGTTTTTGGAAACATATCACAGAATGTCAGGGGCAATCTTGCAGAAGTAGGATTCTTTGCATTTATGACAAGTGTGACAGCAGAACTGAGATTATGAAGAACAATATTCACTATATCATTAGATATCAAAATGACATCTGATTTAGGAACTGAAAGCTTAGGGATAATCTTATTTGCACCCTCCATGAACATTTCAGAATTTTCTTCTGAATGTTTATCAGCTATGCTACATTTCAGAGTGGGTGCGGCAAATGAGAGATTATTCTGATACAGGGTTTTTTCATAAATATCACATAGGATACCTTCAATGGTATCTTGTATTTGAAGTTGAAGTACTTTTTGATATTCGGTCTTACTGAGCAGCTTTTCAATTACACCTTTTTCCTTATCTAAATCGATCTCTTTGTCAGCACTGTTTTTGTCACATTTGCCTTTACGTGATATAATGTCTAACAATGCGTTAACAATTTGACTTGCAATACTTTCAGAAATCCCAATGTCATGAGTTAAAAAAGGATTTTCCCTTTCTTTATCTAATTCATGTTTGATTCCTTGCAAATTTTTTCTAGCCACTTGTAGTGCATAAGTATTTAATTTAGAAAAAGACAGTTGGCACAAGTTGGTCTTTCCTGACTTAGTATGATCTACTGAGAAACAGGAAAATTGCTCGTCAGAATATGAATCTTTGGCTGATAATGCTTTGCTCAATGTACTGTGATCTTGCTGAATAGGTAAAGCCACTGGAATTGTAAAGTTGACTTTGGAATGAAAGAGAGATTTTACTTTGGAAATAGCAAAAGTTTCTAAATTTGTTAATATTGCCTGTACAATATCTTCAGCTAGATTTACCTTTGCTTCTTTGTCAGCAACACTGAATCTAGACTGAAAAGTACATGGATTTTCATCCAACACAGTGACAGAGGACTTTCCTTCATAGGTGTGTTCATGAAGAGAAACATTTGCTGAAAAAGTGATAGTTTTATACCTATTTTCCCTTATATTTCTTTCTGTAATGGCAGCTGAATAAAGTTTGTGAAATACCGTCCTAACAATATTATCTGTTACTATGGTTATATCTGCTTCAGACAGTAAAGGATCCATCATTTTATCCATAAATTGAACAGATGTTTGGGGAGTTGTCTCATCAACATTGTGAGGCATGCCATTAAAATTAGAGTGGGAGAGAGAAAGGACATTTAATTGATTGATTAAAGTACTTTGAAAAATTTCATTCAAAATATTTCTTATAATGGGAGCAATTGGAGATATATGTGGTTCTTTGAGTTTTACTTCAATTTTGTTTAAGGTTTTTTCTAGAGCCCATTGTTTAAGAGAATGTGTTCTCATTTCTTCTCTTTGTGGTGATCTCTCATCAATAATTTTTTTATCTGTATGTGTATCATCATCTAGAAATGAATTTGATTCAGCTCCTCCAGGAAGTTTTCCATATGTTGGCCTGTATCGATAACTTTCAATGCCTCCCCCTTCAGATTCTGTTTCATTAAACATATCAGAAGATACTGCATCTAAAATTAACTTGACTACATCCTTAAGAGTTTGAGTCTCAGGTGGTGGGTTTTTTTCATTAGTCTTCAAATCTGAGGTCACATTTAATTCTGTTTGAATAGCCTTCAAAATAGCACTTGATACCTTCTTTGCATGCATATATAAAGCAGACAGAAATGATGCTTCATGTGTGTCTCTGGAAATATTGGTGCTTTCACATTCCCAGTCCATCATATTGCTTTTCTTATCTCCATCATTAATAGCACCCAAAATTTCTAAATGTCCATTGGCAAACCCTTCCAGTTTAGCAAAAACCATATTAAGAATATCTGAAGCTACAGCTTTCAGTTTATTTGGATGCATTTCTTTTGTGCTCGGTGTTTTGGAAGACACAGGAGCAACAGGCTTTGCCTCGTTTTTAGTCCCTTCTTTATCGTACTCCTGAACCCTTCTGGAAACTATGCTGGAGATTATTTTGGTGGATTTGGCCATTTTCTCAATAATTGAAGCAAATGATGGGTTGTCAATGTCAAGAGACTCTGAGACAGCTTTTAATCCACAATTTGCAAAACTGGTATCCATGTCAACACCACATAATTTTGCAAGGATATAATCCAAAATGGCTTTAGAAATTAACTGAATATTAGACTGCAATGCAGCAACCATTTTCTGATTCGTATTTGTCATATCTCTGCTTTGTTGACTACAAGATGGCTGAGAATGAAGATGGGTCCCCAGGAGCTTCCTTAACATTTCATGTAGTGTTTCCCCAATTCTTTCTAACACTTGCAATTTTGCATTCTCTTTAATATGTTTTCCATCATTGACACTGTGGAGAGTACAAGGAGTAGCCAAATATTTGTGAAAAGATTTTTTATCCTGCCTATGTGGCAAAATGCTTTGTACATCAACACTGTCAGTTGCAGACTTTGGCTTACGAGAAGAGAATGAAATGCTTCTTTGATGTGCATTTTCACTTGATAATATATCATAAATATAGGTTAATAATGGACTTGCCAAAATGTTATCATCAATACTCGTGACAAGAGATTCTAATTTTTTATCAGTACTAGCAAAAAATCCTTTATCTGTAAGGGAGTTTGTATGGTCAATCTCCCTAAGATTTAGGTTTTCCTTGTGAAGTTCCAGTTCATTCTGGATAGCACATAAAACAATGTTTACTATTTTAGCTGTATACTTACTAAGTTGAGATTGTAATGAAGATTTGAAGCCCATATGCAATTTTGGGTAAATAAATGACTTCAATCTTTTAAAAATTGTACGAATGATCTTATCATTAATGTCATCTACAGGTTTAGGTTCACTTTTTCCAGATTTTAACCAGGAAGGCTTTTCAGGATCAATATCAAATAAAGATAAATATTTCATTTTCTTTTCACTGTCAAACCATGTCTTTAATGGGCATTTATTTGGTGCTTCTTTGACTACGTGTTCAGTGTCAGAATTATGTAAGGAAGTCTGATGAAATGATGATGAAATGAAACTTTTAGTGGTATTGGAAATGTAGTTTGATGCCTTATGAAGTACGTTTAACACAGAATCTGTTATTTCTTGAGCCACTGTACTGATTTCTGAAACAGAAAACATCTGGTCTATCCATTCTTGATGTGACAGTCCTTGAGGCTTTTCTGAAACAAGAACTGAAGCTTCATTGCTAGTTTTGCTATCTAAGTGACCAAAAGGAACAGAAGATATGTCCTTGAGCATTTCTTTTAAAATACTTGTGACTATGTTTTCTGAAGCCTGTTGTATTTGATGCTTTTGATCTTGGCTGAAAGTTGAAATGTCTTTATTCAAACAAAGGTTTTTCTTTAAAATATCTTCATGATTAGTAGATGGTGGCTCAGTCTTTAATTCCCAATCATGAAATGCAGCTTTGTTTCTAGAAACAGGCTTTGTAGGTGGTTTGATATTTCTTTTGTATTCAAAACAAGTGTTTCCCTTTGTAAACCAATGATTAGGTATCTCTTCTTGTGATTTTCCTTTTTCGTCTTTGAAAGTTGAATCAAGCACATTTTTTACAATGTTTTCTATTTCCTCATTTTCATCATCAGAATAAAGAACCATGCCTGGAACATTTATAGGTGGAAATCGTCTTCCAGACCTAGGACTATTTGACAGTCTAGTGCCAGTGAGTCTGTACTTTTCTTTGGTGTCAGAAGGACTACTTATTCTGGGTTGCCGTTGCTTACTTTTTTGAAAACTTTCATTTACTGGTTCCTGATGGAGCTGAACAAGGATGTCATCAAGTAGCTGAAGGAATACTACTGTTTCTTCAGATGCAATAATTCTCTCATTATTTAGTTCAGTTTGTATATAACCTAGTATAGCACTGATTGCTTCCTCTATATAACCAACCAAAGAGGACTGGGAAAAAATATTTGATATTAAATTTTGTACTTCTTCATTGACAACTAAACTAGCTTCATCAGATTCAAGACTAGATTTATTTTTGGCAGCTCTTTGAAGGAACATACATATTGAGTCTGTCTTATGTTGCTGGCAGGAAAGCTTAGTTGTGTCTTTAAGATGAAGAAATTCATTTTGCTTAGAAGATACAAGAGTCGTTAGTTTTTCTAAAATGGCATGCACCATGTCCTCTGCAATATCACACATTGGGTCCAAAGTATGAAGCTTTGAGTTTTTCAAAGGTTTTCCATTAGATGATGTGAGAAGTTCATCACTGGCTGCTAAACTTGCTTTAATGTCAACTGACAAATCTTGTGAAAACATCTCAACACATTTTTTCTCAACTGCAGACTCTAACTTCTCAAGCATATTTTCCACAATCTCAGAAGCAACTGAGGAAATACCAACATTGGAAAGCAAGACTTCTTTTACACATTCACATTGTTCAACAAAAACTTCAGCAGTAACAGAAGAGAGAGAGGGAATGGCCTGGGTTAAATCAGACATTATTTCTCGCAAAATGCTTTCTAAAATCACTTCAGTTTCCCTCTTCAAGTAACATTTAAAGTTAACAAAAACATTTTTTAAATTCTTCATTTCATCCATGGCTTTTGCTGTTTTATCACAACGCGATGAACTTCCTAAGCTATCTGTTTCAGTGGTAGCATCCTTAGATTTCTTTGTGCCTGTTTCAAATGATGCTAAAAGGTGACTATCTGATTTACAACTTCTGAGCTTAGGGTATGAATATAGCAAGTTGGTTTTATTATATTTAAGTTTAGAGGTTATAGATTGTCCTTTTACGTGATATGTTTTCCCCACAACTGTTTTTTCCACATGTGCATGAGGAGGTTTTATAGGCGTGGTTGGTCTCCTTACTGACATGTCAACTACAAATGCACAGGGTTCTGCCTGAAATGTTTTCGTTGTTGCAGATGTGTAGCTTCTATATGTAAAGTCTTCACTGCATGTACTACAGAAACTTGAACTATCTGAAGAGAGGATGGAATCATCAGATACTGGGTATGTATTATTTTGCAATCTTTCTTCATACTTTGTGATGGCTGGGTACAATATACTGGTCACTGTAGCCACAACCCAGGTCATTATATTCTGAATTATAATATTCAGTTCTTCAGAAGTTACCTGGAAAGGAGGTAAGCAGAGATGAAAATAAAGTCATGTAACAACTTACATTTTAACAACACGTTTTGGAGATAGAAGGTAACATTTAATTTTTATATCAATGTATTGGTGGAATACCATTATGGTTTATGAAAGAAAATAGTAAAGAAATATCAGTTTAGAAATTTAGAATTTAAGATGAATTTCTAGTTGGTTTATTCTGCACTACCGTGAAGTACTTTTTTGAGTAAGATTTATTTTATTCACCGTCTCTCTGAAGTTTCTTTTTCCCCTGGCATTTATTATAAGGATAAATGATTTTTTTTGTGAAAAATATCACTAAATTGCTGTCTAGGCACACAACATGCAAATATTTTGGAAAGAAAATATGTGATGTTTATGATCCAGCTAATTTTTAAAGATACATTAAATATTTGTAACAAAATATTTCTCAAAACAGATCATTTGGATGATTTCTCAAAACAAAAATATTTGGATGTTTTCAGAAACATCTGTCTAGCTGAGATTTGGGGAAGGAACATAAACCATTTTCTCTCCCAGTCCCTGCTGAAAGGGTGAGCCTGTGGTCTATAAATATAGGAATGACTAAAGTTAATTGTTAAGAATTATTTGATAGGCAAAAATAAAAGCTAATGCTTTATATAGATTGATGGGCTTTGTATCCAACAAAAAAGTATAAATACAAATTTTCCTAGATAGGAAAGCTAAGAACAGATACTAAAGTAAGGTAACAAATTAATTTAGAGAGAAAATAAAAGCCAAACTAGATTCATGAATCAAAGAGTAGGGAGGGCTGAACAAGGTTAAGAAAGTTAGACTATTAATTTGTTTGAGCTGGAACCAAGAACCAGATTTGAATAACCATTTCCTTAGTGACCAGTGTTGCTGTCATAGATTTGAACTGTACCATGGGTAGAAATAAATGCATCTGTAGAATTATATAAACCTCTACTAAGTAACTGCAAATATATTTTGTGCTTACAAAACTCATCTTACATATAATAAAGTAGTACTCTTTTTAAATTGTTAAAACTCTTAAAACATACAGCTTGTAAACACAAGTAATTGGCAGAAAAGCTTAGAAGACTGATATGTAGGTCTCAGCGTAAATATGATTCCTGTAACTAGGCTTCTCACACCCAAAATATTGCCTAAATTAGTCTGAAATTATCCATATTTCTGAGAAATATTCAAAGAAAAGTTAACATATATGCAGCACACTCTCTTCTGACTCACTTGAAAGCATTTGAGGAGCACCCCAGGAAAGGCCATTTTATTCAGCTGTAATCCCCAAATACACAAACATATTTTTAACTTATTGTATGAACAATGGGTTAGTGGTATTAAACACATATTTTGAGATGACAGTCTATGTTGTAAAATACGTGTCTTAAATAAATTTACTCTAAATCAAATATTTAAGAACAATACCTAAATGTTTATAGAGAAGATAATTATTCTAAATCAACTACAACACATACCAATTATAAACTAAGAATTCAATATACATCATTTTTCTTAATACTAGAGATGATAAATAATAACCTACATTATTACTCTTAAGTTAGTTGTGGCAAAGAGATTCCAACCTCAATATACAAAAGAGGGATATATTTCTAACTTTTTCTTTGTAGTGAAATATGATAGATAGAATCCTAGTTTTTAATTGCTTTCTATTACAACATTAAACTGAAAAAAATTCCCTTGGGTCAAAGCTTTTGTATTTGCTGCATATTCTGTGAACTGAGCAAGTTTCCATGTTAAATAGTGTGTCAGAGTATGTGTTGTTCCTCAAATCCTTTCTCTTTCCTGACCGTTCAGTCTAGATCCAGAGTTAGGCCTCATAAAAACACACTATCTTATCTTTGCCTGTTCCAAGTCTCAGCTCACAGGTGACCAGGTCCCTTTTCACAAAACTGCTGAAGACAGATCCAAGCATCTCAACTCACCTACTACTGAGTTCTCCAGCAAGATCTGAAAGGCCTTATTGATTAATGGCTTACCATGATATAATAGGCTTGTGGTATTTGATTCTCTTCCTATGATGGTTAGGTCCATTAATATCTCACCATTCTATACCCATGAGACCTTGTCTTGAAGGGTCAGTATTATCTTTTGATAACAATTTTGGACCACAGAAAAGTATAAGAATGAACTGAAAGTAAACTTCAAAGAAGAAAAAAAGGGCAAAAAGGAAGCCTAACAAATATCAATGGATGATTCTTATTAGTTAACAAAATATTTTCTATTATGACGCCTCAGAAACTATGACTAATATGTTGCTTTATCAATGGATTTTATGATACATACTTTTTCTTGCAAGCAATTTTTCAGGATGTTTTGTTGCCTGTAAAGAAAGGTTGATCATTTAGTTATTACACAGAGTCAAAAATTTATAAAACTTTTCCCAAAATTTCTAATTATAGAATCATTTTGTTGTTTCTAAGAGTTTTTCTATAGAAATTCAAAATGAAGAACACAGTATTTTTTCCAACCCCCCTATTTCACTTCCTTCTTAGACTGGCCTCTAGTTTTAGAAATGTGCTTTATTACCCAGGGGAACAGGAGTATGGCTGCTGCATAAACAGTGTCCCTCTCTGATCCTTATACTTCTAACACACCTTAGCCATGCCTACATTGTGTTTCTCTGAAAATGGATATAGGATTTGCAGGAAGGGGGCAGATGAGTCCCTTGTGACTGCTAAAAGGCCTGATGGAGTAGCAAGGCATCTGACCAGAACTTTCTGAAAATCCTTTATTTGTTCGTTCAAATGCCACAGTTCCACTGTCCCCTCCCCATATTCCACAGTAGGAAGAAAATATGTGAATGATTATTCAGTAACTATGGGTTAAAATAATAAGTTTCTAGCTATATTTAATACCGATTTAGATGCATTCCTTTTCTGTGTATGACAATATTCTATCATGTGTTATTAGATTTACCATCACACACTAATGAAATAAAAACATAGTTTTCTGAATTACAAAAAAAAATAGCTCAATCATAAAAATAATAGAAAATAAATATTTATTAAAACAAGATCTACATCTGAAGTCTGATTTATTTTCTTATTTTTTTGCTGATTTGAACTGTTTCTTTTCTTCTTTCTACTTTCTTAAGAAAATTGGCACTCCTTTCCAGACCTGTACTCCACATGATCAAATTTACATTTCCCCCAAGGGATATAATTCAATTTTGAGAAACAGCCAGACTGAAAACTATATCCTATATTTTGGCAGAAAAAAAAAAAAAACAAACTTCACTGGGTTCAGTTCATAAAATGGGCTTCATGACAACAGTCTATCCTTAGACTAGTACCTTTTGGCAGTATGCAATTAGGATCATGAAAGCTGATGTCAGTGACACCGTTATCATTTGTCCTAATTTGTTTTTCTAGGATCTGGTTTCTTAGGTCAACCCAAGTTTCCACAGGTTTTTCTCTTAGATATTCTGCAACCCAATGCATTCAGATTCACTTTTCTGTTTTCTTCATGTTATATCATTGGCACGAAACATAACTCAAGGAGTTCTATGTATTCATTGACAGCACTTCCCAACAGACTTTCTGCTCCAAAAGCATACACACAGAACCAAACAAAGTGCAAAGGCCTACAGGTAAAATTAGTCAGGAAACTGAAAAAGCTTCATTGATTACTATTAGAAAACAATTTTATTAACCAGATAAAGCATGGCATCAGCAGAAATGGCAGGGTATCTTCAGAAATTCATTCCCCCAAAAAAGTAACAAGTAAACTGGCAAAAGAACAATGATGAGAATTATAGTTTCTGGGGCTCTAGAAAATTATCAAAGGCTTGCAGCATTCCAGAGAGCACTTATTTAGGAAAAACAGTGAATCTAGGTATTGGCATTGAGTTTTGGTGTTTTAACTTGTCTTATTTTCATCCCCTCTCTCCAGCTTCGTAATATCCTTGAAAAATAATACCCTGAAATCACAGCAACATAGTTTTATTTTGGTATCTGCCCAAAATCTAGCATTATAGTTTGAACATAGTAGGTTCTCAATAAATGTTTGATAAATAAATTCCTATTTAAAGTCTTTTGGATCGGTGCCTACTTCTCTCTCATCCCAGAGGAAGTCTTTGCAGGCCACAGATAGCTTTTGGGAACTGGTTCTGAGTTTCTTTCTTTCAATTTTTCCTATATATTGGTGTCAAAGTTATTCATTGTGTATGCTAATTTGACCATTACACCCCCACTAAAAACCATCAGACTATTACACAATAAATAAACTACAAGTTTTAACCACAGTCTTCAGGGTAATAGATTTATGCCTTCTTCATTCTGTTACTCCTTATACCTTCCCTGTAATACAAAAGTTACTTATCACCTAAGTGCAATGCTTAATTATTGCAACTTTACTCCCACTGCAGTCATATTTATTTTCATTCCCTTGGTACTGAATTTTCATCTCTATTTTATAAATCTTTTTTAACATTAAACAAATGATCAGGGACAAGAAAACTAAGCAATAAGTGAGAAAAGAAATAGAATAGATGTGAGGCTTCCACAGCAAACTCCTATAAAACCTGGAGTTAAACCTGAACAAGAGGAATGTGACATATGTGTCTTTGCTCTTTATTTGGATCTGTGTGTATGCTCTTGGGGCAGTGGTGAAGAAACTCCAGGTAAGGTATGGAGTTCTTTATTTTTCACTAAGGTAGGATTTTTAATGAAAGAATATACAAAATGCTTGCTATGAAAGATTCAAGTGATTTTTGTAGTTCTACATTCTTGGATAGGAGAAGATAAAAATTGCAGTTATTACAACTATATTATGAGCCTCTTCTAACCTTTTCTTTAAAGAGGTAGGTATTTATATTTCCAATAAATAAAAATGTTTGTATCCAATAAATAAAATAAACAATGTTATTTTACATATGGTCTACACATGGTCATCAAGTTTTATTGCTTTGAACTAGACAAGTCAGTTTCCTTCCTTCTGCATCTTTTACAGTATTATGTATCATATGAATACTCAATAAGTCAAACAAACTGATATTTATCAGTCTTAAAATAAAAATTATTATTTCAGGAAACCTTGTCTGAACATGTCAATACCATTTGCCGTCACGCACCACTTATTTTACTCAATCATCTTCATAGGAATTTGGGGTTTGTAAAGTTTATCCTAGACTTCATTTGGTTTGTTGATTTTTTAAAAAGATGATGGCATTGAGTGTAAAATAATACAAAGCTCACTGCCATTACTTAGATTCGTGTTTTCCTCTCTCTCTTTTCTTGCGTTGAGGAAAACAGATATAAACATCAGCAAAATAGGTGGTCACTAAAGTTTGAAGAATGAAAAGTCCCTGGGCTTAACAACTATCTCTTGTAAGTGCCATAATTTCCACTACTAGAGATTTTTTTTTTTTTTAAATTAAACTGCAAAATAGCCTTTGGGGTGCGGGAATAACTGATTAAGTCATTTGTACTATGAACTATTTTACCAGTCTTAGACAGCCAGTAATCTCAAAAAGCATAAGAGATGGTAGCTGTTTCAAAGAAGAGAAAAGGAAACAAATAAAGCCAGATCATGAGAAGCTACCAAAAGAAGGCTATGATGTGGATACACTTGAAAATGGCATGGAGGTCCTGACTATAGGTGGATTATAGGTAAGGAGAAGGAGAAAGGAAAGGACAATGATTCACTTTGTCTACAACTTAAGCTTAGTATTGAAAGTCTGCAAAAGACTAAGTTTCACTAAATCCAAGTAGAACTGTAAAAATGGAGGATTCCATGGAATAATTTGCTTATGAGCAGCACTCTTATATAATTATTAAAATTATTTATGATTCCATATAATTCCTTAGGTACTTACCTATTTGTGCAAACAGGAGAAGAAAATATACCCGGGTCTGTAGCATGAGCCTGAGGTCCTATTTATCAGAAAAATAAAATTACATAGTTTGTGTCCATCCTCAGCAATTTGCTAAATGGTAATCCTCCAGTAGGAGGACCATTTATTCTCTGTTATCACTGCCTTGTTTACAGGCTTTCAGGGACTCTCCACAGTGAAGTCCAAAGTCCTTAGCAAGGACCTGTATTGTAAGATCTGATGTCCTTATCTACCTCTTCAGTGTCTTCTCTGACTAGTCTTTCATACTTAAGCTATGGTCCAGAGACAGAATATTTTGCAGTTCCCTAAATATATCATGTTTCTCATGCCTCTGTGGACTGTGGTTTTGCAGTTTCTTTTGTCTAAAACACCCTGTGCTGTATTTTAACTTCTCATCTTTTAGGGCTCATTCAGCTTATGTTAACTCCTGACAGCCTTCCTTGATACCTACCTGAACAAATACCCTTCCCAGTGCTCTCAAAACACTCTAAACATGTTTATATTATAAAACTCATCATGCCTACACAGTAATTATGTTTACTCTTGTGTACACCTGATTATGACTTCCCACATATATCCTCAGTACTTAACATGTTTTGGTGTGTGATCAATTTTAGAAAGAAAGGAACTGACAATCCCAGCACTTTGGGAGGCCCAGGAGGGCGGATCATGAGGTCAGGAGATCAAGACCATCCTGGCCAACATGGCGAAACCCCGTCTCTACTAAAAATACAAAAAAAAATTAGCAGAGCATGGCGGCGTGCACCTGTAGTCCTGGCTGCTGGGAAGGCTGAGGCAGGAGAATGGTGTGAACCTGAGAGGCGGAGCCCATATCCGAAAATTAAATGTGAAGACAACACTGTTTTTAATACAAAAAATCTCTTCTGTGGTTTCCCACAATATGCTAAATAAGTATCTTTAATTTTGCCTAGAATTCAGTATAGAGCATTAAAGCCATACTGTTGAAAATAGCTAAACTTTCAGAGAGATAGGAGAACTTCCTGAAGGTAAAACAAATGGGAGAACACAAATCTATAGAGGTAAACAAATGCTGAAGCTGATACCTGCCCTAGGGACAGTGGCCACATCTGGAAATTTAGTGTCTGGTCAGAGCATTTAAAACATGACATTGGGCCCCCCAAAAGATGGGGAATTAAAACTAAGAGCTCCTAAAAATATACAGATGCTCCTTGACTTAACAATGGGGTTGATATCACAATAAACCCATCATAAGTTGAAAATAAGTTGGAAATGCATTTAGTAGACCTAACCTGCTGAACATAATAGCTTTACTTAGCCTATTTTAAATTTGGTCCGAACACTTACATTAGCTTACAGTTAGGCAGAATCAGCTAACACAAAGCCTACTTTATAATAAAGTGTTGAATATCTTATATAATTTATTGAATGCTATACTGAAAGTAAAAAACAGAATGGTTGTATAGGTACTTAAAATACAGTGTCTATTGAATGTTTATCGCTTTTACACAATCCTAAAGTTGAAAAATCTTAAGTCCAACCACTGTAAGTGGGGAGGTCATCTGTTTAGGATCCCAATGAGCTACATCTTCAATTAGTCATCTACAAAAAAAAAAAAACAAAAAAACAAAAAACCAAAAAACCAAAAAATTCATGCCACAGAGGAAGCAGACAAATTACGTCTTGGCTTTTGGCTGTGGGTGGAGAAGGAGGAGGAGAAGATAAAAGCATTTGCTAAGAATTCATAATCACAGATTATGTTTTCTATGACCTTGAGTTTCAAATCCACAGAAACTGTATTGTCCCTAAAACTCCATGTGAGAATTTAATTTAAGATGAATCAGTGTTCACAGCTCTTACAGATAACTGGCAGCAGCATACGTAAATTTCTTTTAGAGAATTATAGTCTATCCAAATATTATTGAATCCCCAATAATAAATTTCTGTCAATAACAACCTCCCACTCCCCACAGAAGTATAAAAAAAGAAAAACAAGAAATCATGGCTTTTAACAGAAACAAAAACAATATATTAAAATCAGACCCCAAAGATTTCAAATATTTGAATTAGCAGATATAAAATATAAAATAAGAGGACTTTATATGTTTAAATATATAAAGAAGGGATTTGAAAGGGTAAGAATAGAAAAACAGCCTATAAGAAGTCCAGCCAAATTTAAAAATAACTATTTAGAAATTGTATTATATATATATAATATACCATAGTTCAATCAATTTTACAAAGCAATTAATTTATGAAATAATAAATTATATAGAAAAACTAAATAAAGAGAGAATTAGTGAACTGGAGAACATATTTGAAGAAATTAACAGAAATGCAGTGAGAGAAATGGAAAATACAGTTGTTAAAGTACATGAGACAAGAAGGTAATCTAATACTCAGAAGAAGATAGTAATGAAAATGAAGAGATATATAGATAGAGATATCAATATAGATAGAGAAAATGGCTGAAACTTGTACAGAACTGCTCCTAATAATAATACTAAAGAAAAAACAAAGAAAACATCTTAAAAACAGCCCGAGGTGGGGGACAGAAGAATCACTTACAAAGGAATAATTACACAGAATAAAAAGTAAAAGAATTACACAAAACAATTTTTTGTTTGTTTGTTTTTTGAGACAGAGTGTCGCTCTGTCACCCAGGCTGGAGTGCAGTGGCACGTTCTTGGCTCACTGCAACCTCTGCCACCCAGGTTCAAGTTATTCTTGTGCCTCAGCCTAAAAATCTATTATATTTAAAGTGCTAAGAAAAAAAAAAAAATCCCCTGAAACTTACTCATATCATTGGACATAATGATATTCTAATACAAGGATAAAGACAATTTTATCAAATAAAATCTGAGAATTTACTCCCAAAATACGTTCACTAAAGACCTTTCTAAAGAATGCAGTACTTTAGGACAAATGGCAATAATCCCAAGAAGTATTAAATGCAAGAAGGAATGAGTGGAGAACAAAATAAGCTGGTAAACAGGTGGGCAAATATAAATAAAATCTGTATGAAACAGTAATAAGAAAGTAATTTGACTGATAAAACCTTTAAAATGTCAAAATTTAAACTATTGGACAATAATAAGTATGATACAAAGTGATGATTAGAAGTAAATTATCCAACTTTAACTTTTATTTTAAATATACTTCAACAGAACTAGAAGAGTAAATTTACAGTGTTCAACACAAAGAAATAACAAATGTTTGAGTGACAGATCTCCTAATTAACCAGACTTATCACTATATATTGTATGCTTATATCAAAATACTTATGTACCCCAGAAATATGTCTGACTTTTATGTATCCATAAAACTTTAAACAAAATGTTAGGGTAATTGCCAAAAGAAACATACATATGTTATGCAATTTGTAAAACAGAAAAAAAAAACCTAGATTAAAAACTAAATTTAGCACTCTAAGAGAATGCAATAAAGAATAAATAAAAATATATTAAAAAGTAGAACAAAGAGAAACCACAAATAAGGCAGTAAAAAACTTCCAAAGATTTGTAATTTACATAAATACAAATTGATTGGGTTCAGTTAAAATTCAGAAATGCTAAGACATTAAAAATTAAGCAAAATCCAGCTGTAGACTGTCTACAAGAGGCATCTAAACAAATAAAGACACTAAGATTAGAAGCTGATGTCTCTATATTAATAATAGACACATTTAATTTAAGCCAAAAAACATAACTTATGGTAAAGGTCACAGCATGATGATAGGAATATTCAATTCACCTGGAAGATATGATGATTCTAAAATTTGGATATGTCTAATCACTAGATCAAAAATATTTTTAAAATGGTCAGAGCTACATTAACGAGTTTTCAAACCCACTCTCATTATTTTCAATAATTTTTAGAACAAGGAGTAAAAATTAAGTATATATGTGTATTTGAATATATAATAAGCTACATATTTGAAATACACAATTCACTATCTTGATTGAATGGACATATTTAGAACATTACATCCCAAATTGAACAATATTCATTGTTTTCAACCACACAGAACCTATTAAATATTAATCATGTCTGCTAAGCCAGAAAGTATGCTCTAGATTCCTCTTTATGGTTGGTATCATGAAGATCATACTCTCAGTCTACAATGCAATTAAATTATAAATGACCACCAACAAAAATAAAGTAAATTTAGAGTAACTAACCCAGGAGTACAAAATTTAATAACTAACTCATGAGTACAAACTAATAAACAAAATTGAATATTAAATATGATTTAGAAAAAAATGAAGTATTATAAGGCAAGTTTTTTGATACATTTTATATTTTCATAGTTACATATCACCAACTAAGTTTCACATACTGTTCTAAAAAGTTTAAAATATAAACTCATTGAATTCCCATAACAATCGTATGTATTACTACTATTATATTTATTTTATAGTTGGAAAATCTAAAGAACAGAGACATTAAATAACTTGGCCAAACTAACATGCATTTTAAGTACTGGAGTGTGGATTAAACTTATCTATCTGAGTACATTCTCTTAGTGACTATGCCATACTGCCTTTCAATAATCTCATCTAAATAAATACGATATATTATAACTTTATGCAAGTATATCTGAAAATATATATGAATTAAATAAATTTAGAAAAAAAGTTACTTGCTGAAAACACTCAAAAAGAAGAAAAATAATTTTGAATCACTAAAGTAATTGAATTCATAATTTAGCTTTTTCTCACTAAAAGAACAAAGACTAGGTTATTTATTTTAACAGTGACTTCTACTAAACATTCAAAGAATATATAATTTCAACTTTTTAAATGTTTATAAAACAGTAAAAGCAGCCAACATAATTAACTCATGGAGCTAGTATAATCTTGACATGAAAACCGTATCAGGATACTATGAGAAAGGAAAATTACAACCCAACCTCTCTCAAGAACCTAGATGCTAAAATCCTAAACAAATTACTAGTAAATTTAATCTACACATGTATAAGAAGAAAAACACATGATAGATAAAACTGATTTAATCAAGGGTGTGTGGCTGTTTTAACAATAAAATATGATAGCCTTAACA